ACCTTCTGGGACTGTAGAGTGTGATGCAGAATGCCAAATACTGCCAACAGCCTGCCCATCCATTAGGATTGGGCTTGACAGTGTTGAAGGTTGCTAGGAATAAGTGGCTGGGCCTTGGGACTCTAGACCCGGCAGAGATTTGCCCTGTAAGTGTGTGTGTGTGGATAATACTTAGTCCTCAGCATCTTCCAGTTACAAGGACTGCACCTGGCATCTCAGGACTGAATCTGAGATGCCCTCAGAAGTATTTGCTTGGTCAACACTAGTTATAAGGCAAAAGTGCTTGTTAGATTGGGCAAGGAGACAAACTTGTCTCCCTGGTCTGCTGCGGGCGTTTCCTTAGTGTCATCCCAGCAGCCCAAGGAGGCAGCCAGAGTCCTTCTCTTCCCATCACTCACCCTGTTTTCTCCCAGCATGAAATGATTTCCTTCAAGCTTAGGGAAAAGATTGCCCCAGTCCAGGTACAGCTGGTTGATTTGTTCTGGAAGGAGGTGGTGGATTGCTCCCTGAACCTCCATAGTGCCTCCTGTGGTGGCTGAGCCCCAGGCCCACAGAGTGCCTTTCCTTCGTTAACTAGTTCCTTTCTGTTTGACTTTGAAATACCCACAAGGTTTCCCCAGCTTCACATTAGTCAAGACCACCTTTGCAGAAAAGAATTGTCCGCTTTTCTGTGGTCCCTGATTTTCTGCGTAAGAGAACATTAAGCGATTTCAGGATGTTAGATGAGCCCTAAGGCGGTGGGGGAAATTGCTTGCCTGATCAGTTTTATCTGGTAAAGGATCTGGTGAGTGTAAGAGCTGCTCCCAACTGGGATCAATTGCCGTCCCCAGGGCCCTCTTCAGCACAAAAGCCCTGTTGCTGGCTTGGAGCTGAAGGTTCCTATTTAAAAAGATAAGGCACCCCTCGGGGCAGTAGAGATTTTACCTCTTTGCTTTTTCTGTAGAAATTGCAGAATTCGCCTGGAAGGCACTGGGACTGAGTCTGTAACGCAGATTAGAGCTGTTTTCACATCCCTTTCTTAGGCTGTGAGGTTTTTGGACAGATTGTGAAGGTGCTCAGGCTGGTGGAGAGCTTTTGAATATTTTATTTATTTCCTTTTTCTCCCCAAAGCCCCCCAGTACATAGTTGTATATACTAGTTGTGGGTCCTTCTAGCTGTGGCATGTGGGACGCCACCCCAGCATGGCCGGATGAGCAGTGCCATGTCGGCGCCCAGCATTTGAACCCGCGAAACCCTGGGCCGCCGTAGTGGAGTGCACGAACTCAACCACTCAGCCACGGGCTAGCACCATGGGGAGCTGTTGGATGCCTCCTGTGCGTCCAGGGAAACCCTGCAGAGGTGAGGCAAACTAGGGAGAAACTTGGGATTCACATTAGGGCAGGAATCCCATTTTCTTTCACTTGAATGCAGAAAAATGAAAAGAAAAATCTTTTGCCAGATAATTTTCACTTTAACTATTCATGCAGTCATCCTGAATCTTGAGCGTTCTTTTCTCTCAGCGTGACTTTCTGTCCTTCAGTTGTCGCCGGTGCTCCGGAAGCACAATGAAACTCCTGCACAGAGAATTGAGGATTCTCTGTACCTCTCAAGCCAGGTGAGTTTAGAGCTGGAGGGAACAGCTGGGGGCACCTGCTGCTCTGCGAGGCCTCCAGGAGTTACTGGGAATCTGAAGTTCCCAGTTGTCCTAAGGGAACCCCTGATGGAAAAGAAGCAGAGATGATACAGTCTCAAAACACGTCACACCTCTTATGTGGCAGCGAAAAGAAAAGGGCCAACTGAGGAGCCTTCCTCACAGGGCCCACTACATAATCCGTGGGGCCCAGTGCAAAAAGAAGATGCGGGGTCGCTTGGTCAAAAAGCAGGAAAACAGTGCGGTACACATAAAGCCAGACACGAAAGGACAAATACTGAATGAGTCCAGCTATCTGAGGGAGCCGGAGTCAGCAGATTCGTAGAAAGAGAAAGTAGAAGGGCGGTCGCCAGAGGCTGGCGGTAGGGGAGAGGGGGTGTTACTGTTTAATGGGTGTAGTTTCGTGTGGGAAGATGAAGGGGTTCTGGAGATGGGTGGTGGTGAGGTCTGCGCACCAATGTGAATGCGTTTAGTGACACTGCGCTGTACACTCAACAATGGGTAAAATGGTAAGTTTTATGTTATATATATTTTACCTTCCTTCTTCCTCCGCCCCACGCAGAGGAACACATAAGCTTTTTCCTTCTTTTGCAGTCTCTGTCTTCCACTTGTCCTGGTGTTTTTTTATTTCCCTGGAGCTGGCTAGAAGGGACGAAAGAGAGCCAGGCTCAGGAAGGTGGCACCAGGGAGAGGGTCCCCAGGCGCAGAGCCTGTGGAAAGAGCCTTCCAGGGCTGGGAGCTCACAGGTGCCTGGGGCGGGTGCTCTCTTGGGCCTGCCAGCTGCCGGCTTCCCCTTCCCACAGGCCTGCCACCCCAGCCCACAGCAAACGGGCGACTCCCAGGTATCTTCAACACTCGGAGCTGGGAGCACTCGGTAGGGGGATGGGCAAGAGGCTCCTCCCAGTCTAGACTCAGCTAAAGCCGGCCACTCACCAGGAGCACCATGGTGCTGCCAGCCTGGGGTGAGGATGGCTGCCACCATGCCCCTCTCCACGGGTGCCTGCGCCCGACACCCGGCATCCTGCATGGGCACCCAGGCCCCTGCCAAAGGCGGAGGGAGCAGCCGCGGTTGTGTGGGGGGCGGGGCGGGGGGGAGCAGGCAGGGGAGTGGCAGCAGAACCCATTCAGGGAGGCTGCAGGCGCTGGGCTGTGTAAGTCCCGGCTTCAGGCCCCCGTGCCTGTTCCACCGTTCCGTGAGACTTCACTTAGAGAACGCAGATTCCAAGATAACATTAAGAACTTCAAGACGGCAGCCAAGTGCGGGCCCTTCCGGGCGCAGGATCTTATTCCAGGGCACTGGTCATACAGCCCTGAAGCCAGCCCTCTTCCTCAGGCAAAAGAGGGCATGTGGCTGGAGTATTCTTTGGAAGATCCCTTCGTCCCTAAAGGAGGCCTAACTCAGTATGGACAGTGCTTACCGCAGAGTGGGCTGAGGCAGCCTTTCCCGCTCCCCTGTGCTCCCCTTCCCTCCAGGGCAGCAGACTTCAGCTGTGCCCTTTCTTTTCCACCCTCCCACTCCCCGCTCTGCTGGGGTCTGCCAATAGTTGACTGATCGACAGTCTTACTTGAGCCAGAAAATACTGGACTGTACACTCCTTGGGATGAGCATGGAATCCAGTTCATCTCAGCGCTGAGTGCGTGGTTTCCCATTACCCAGTCCCAGGGCGGCCATACAGGAAGGCAGCATGAGATTGTGCAAAGTTAGTTTGTCCTTGATGGCCTGGGTGGGGGGAGGAGGGCAGGGAGGGTTCTGACCGTCTGGGCAGTTGCCACCTACAGAGGGTTAAGGAAGCCCCGTCCTTCTCCTACTCTACGTCCTAAATCCTTAGGAGGGCCGACTGTAGGCAGTGTACTTTGCAGTGGCCTCAAGTTGTGTCTGGGATAGAGTGCAGGTGTTTTTCTTGGACTGAAAGGTTTGCCTTGAGCGTTGTCTAGATCATATTGCAGACAGCTATGCTCCAAGCAGCTCCATTTGCTAAGCGTACTCTTGTCTCATCAAGTGCCTTTTGGGGACTTTTCAACTTCGGAGGGCTCCGTTCTGCATCTTGCCCTGTGAGGAAACCCCACACCAGCTTTACTAGCAACTGTCAGCACATCAGCTGGTGTCTTCTCGTGGGGGAAATATGCCAGCTGCCTAGGCTCCTGAGGCCCCATTCCCAGGAAGGCAGCTAGGGGACAAAACAGCCCCTCTGCCCTTTTCTCTGCTGCCAGTAGGAATGCATTTTCTTTTGAGTTGAGGAATTAGGCGCACCAGCACAGTCCAGCTGAGCCCTGCCCAATCCAGCTGGCAAAGGAGCTGGGACGAGGGAGAAACACCCCAGAACCTGAGCAAAGGCAGACGTACGGAGCCCAGGGAGGCTGACAGCTCAGGTCTGGGGCCTGGGAAGCACAGCAGGCCTGGCTGGCCCCAGCGGAGCTGGACTGGGAGGCCAGAGCACCACCCTGTGACTTCGCAGATTCTGTCCTTCTTCCCTCCCTCCATTCCCGCCCCCTTCTGAGCCTCAGCTGGGAGTTCTGCGTGTGCTTAAACATCTCTGTCAAGAACGAAGGCTGGATCTGTGGGTGACCATGACCTTTCCTAACCTTCTATAGCTGTGAAGAGCTTTGAAGGGAAAGCAACCACCCCCTGCCCAACCCTGAAGGGTTTCCCATTTCAAATGACTAAGTCTTGACCTTTCTAGCAAGACTTCAAAGAAACTGATCAAAGATAACATTTATATTAAATAAAACAGCACAACATTTTTTCCTTTTTACTGTAAAGCTTGAAATGAAAACCAGCCACACTTCAGCTCTGCCAACAAAGCACGGTGAACGATAGTGAAAGAGCGGTTGCCGCAGGACAACCCTTCACTCCACCCCCTTTATTTTTGGGGGCTTTGGTGGACTCTACGCTGAATTTCCGACATCAGAGGTGGTTTTTCAAGTGCTCAGGTCTCTAGGCAATCAGAAATCACCAAAGCTCATCTGGATAATCTCTGCCACAAATTATCATCTGAGAAGGCAGTTGTGGTGTGGCCGAAAGACACAGTGGACTCCGGAGAAGCCAAGTCCGGGTTCTCAGTCTGTGCCCTGCCTCTTCACAGCTGTGAGGCCGGGGCAAGACACTTAACCTCTTTGGACCCTCAGTTTGCTCCTGTACAAATGGAGATAATAAATCCCATATATCTCACAAAATTGTTATGAGTACATAAAAATGTACGGAAAAGTACTTATTCTGTGCTTGGCACATAATATACTCAGTATATGTGTGCTGGGTTATAATCTATTACATTTGTGGTATTTTCTGCAACACTTTTCGCCACCCCATACCAATTTAGTAAAACAAATATAAAGGTAACATTTTAAAAATTGCTGTATTCAAAATTAATAATAAACTTTAGGGTAAATAAGCTTTAAAACAAAAGTACACAAGCAAAAATAAATAATTTACACCATCCCACTAGCCTAATTTTCAGAGTAAAGCCATTTCCGATTACAGCACTTTTATCCTGGGCTCCAGCCTGTGGTCAAACTTTGATAGTTCATTATTTTTAAAAAACAGTAACAAAAAACTGAACACTAAGTAATAAAATTTTAACAAAAACAAAGCACTGAATTTAACTTTTTAATTTTAAATAACCAAACTTTGTGATTTTATACATAATCCAATGTAATGCTAATATAATTAGCACTTTAGCTTGAAGAGTGGGTATTCAACAGGGATGGAAAACTATAATGAATAGTCTTCAAACTGTGAGATACAAATAAAAATGGAAAAGGATACAGTAGAACAAAAACTGCAGACACTCTACCAACTGGGGGAAATATCTGAAGGCTTCACATCCTTTATTATCCATGATGGCTTTTGGAATTATGATTGTTTGACGTATAGAACCTTTGACATTTTAGATACAGCCTTTATTTTTTTTTTTCACAGTAAGTTAAAAATCCATCATAAGACTCCGTAAGACATCACCGGTCTTGCATGTAGACTCTAGGAGTTTGCGATTTGATAAAAGAGTAACACGAAAATTTACTGTATTGCCCCAATTTCATACTTCCTTGTACACAATGAATCAGTTTGGGAATCTATTCCAAGGATTATATACACAAAAGTGTTAAGAATAAAATGTTCTCCACTCTTGCATAAGAATGTGTACAGTGTTTCAGGAACGGAAAGCTTCTAATTTTCCTGGGCCCGGGCTTCACGGATCTCTGCTGCCTGCAGGCGAAAGGCTCCTCTTGCGCTATTGCCCCGCTGCTCTGAGGATTAATCATCCAAGCCTGGCGTTTCTCCTTGTTGGATCCTGGATGCTATTCTGATGGCTTCTTCCAGAGATGGCTGTTCTCCAAGCTGAAACAGGAACGTGCACAAAGCCAAGTTAATGTCAAAGAAACATCATACGCCAGAAGTAAAATTTCTCTCTGTAATTGTGACACCAGGGCTTGTTAAGATGCTGCTGTTGATCTAGTCAGTAAGAGCGCAAAAACAAATTCCTGCAGGGGAGAAGAATGCAGTTTCTTTGTTTAGGATTTTGATAAATCTTCACGCATGCAAGGGACAGAGATGCTCATCTTTTCCAATGGAGATATTTAGAACGCTTCCTGAGGCTTTGGCTTCTATGCCCATAGACTAAACTAAAACCAATGGCTGGCATTTTCCGGCATGTGTTCTAACCCTTTTCCAGGTAAACACATGAAAAACAACTCTCTGCAAAGAAAGGTAATCTGCAGCGAGCACTCGATTCTCTGCTCGAATCCAGTGACTTCCTGGAGAATGGTATGTTTTGGTCTTCTGACATTCCCCACTGGAAAACAGGGCTGCACAGTGATTCTCAGAGGACTAATTTAGGGTCTATGTTTACACAGGTTCATTTCCAAGGAGCAGCTCTTAGGTGTTTTATAGAATCCTGCCTAATTAGACTTTTCTTTTGAGAGTAAAGATGGTTGGCCAGGTGCACACAGGGATATATACCAGAGCTTTATTTGTCTTGTTATAAATTCCCCTAGAATATGCAAAGATAGTAGAGAACAAAGTATTGGTCTCTTTGAGTCCATCTCAACTCCAGCAATTTCCTTAAAGTGGCTAAGTGACACAGATCCTTCTGTGCCCTGCCTCTGGTAAGGGTTATGCATAAAGCACAGTGTGCGAGCTTGAGAGCTAGGGGTAGGGCTGTAGTCAACTGAGGACAGCGGCCCTGGTACTCACTTGAACTGCAATCTGGGTGCCATTGGATGTTGCCACTAAGGTCAGAGGTCTGGTTTCTGTGGTTACTAAGTGATGGCTGTGCTGTTGGTGTCCCATTTCTGATGAGGCAGTATGGAATGCTGCCAAGTCCTGAGCCACAATTGCAACCTTAAAAAAATAAAATACACAGAAGAATTAAAACTATGATTTAAGTAGGGTAAAATCCATTGAATGCAAGGGATTGTCTTCACATTCAAAAAGAAATACTCCCCTGACCATAGACTTGTAGAAGCCTAAAGCTGGAGGAGACCTTATATATTGTCTATTCTGGATTCTTCTTTTTTATTTGAGGAAGCCGAGGCTCAGAAAAAATGGACTTATCTAAGGTTATGAAGGGAGCCAATGGCCAAACAGGGTGGAGGACCCTGGACAAGTGGAGCTGCTACAGCAGGCTCCATCAGCCAGGGGAGACATGACTGCCTAGGTTCTATTACCCCTAAGTGGCTGCCTGGGAAGTTACGCATGTGAACTAATTCACATCTCAAATGTCTACTTATCTTCAAGTTTGGAACAGTGGTAGATAACATACTCTTTTCTCCTGTTTACCTGTTGCATTTAAAACTAGATTTCCATTTAACCAGGAAAATTGAAAGGACCAGTAGCATTACAGATAAATGGCAATATATCTTGTTATACTCATTTTCCATTTTAGATTCCAGGAAATCTATATGAATCTATATTGTTCCTGAAGCATCTAGCCAGAGTGGTTAAAATGCTTTTGTAGCTCTTAAACCACAAATATAGCTTTTTCTAGACAGAATAATAATTGGAGTCCCAAAAGGAAAAGAGACAGAATGATGCAGAATAAAAACTTCTTGATGAAATAATAGCTGAGCTTTTCCTAAATCTGGTAAAAAACAAAAAAACAAAAAAACAAAACCAAAATACATTAATATATGATGTTTTATAATGTTGTATGTCTTACAATTATATATAAGAAGGCTAGAGGATAAATACAAAGAAAACCACATCATAATCAAATTGCTAAAAAGCAAATATAAAGAAAAAATCTAGAAAACAGCCAGAGGAGAAGTGATGTATTATATACAGGGGAACAATGATATGAAGATGGCTGCCTTCTCATCAGACACAATGAAGGACAGAGACAATTTAAAGTGCCGAAAGAAAAAAAATAACTGCCAACCAAAAATTCTGTATCTAGCAATAATATCCTTCAAAACAAAAATACTTTTCAAAAACAAAGGCAAAATAGTATATTTTCACATAAATAAAAATAGAGAATTTGTCACTGTAGATCTGCACTACAAATAATGCTAAAGCATAAGCTTCAGGCCAAAGGGCTGATTCCATATGGAAACGCAAATCTACAGCAAGGAATGAAAGGCACTGGTAATGATAGATTAGTGGATAAGTATAAAGTATTCTTTCCCATCCTCCTATAACTTACATAAAAGATTAAAAGTTTAATGCTAAAATATAATATTACATTATGGGGGTTATAACATATGCAGATGTAAAATATATCACAATTGCACAAAGAATGGGGGCATGCATGAAAATATACTGTTTCAAGGTTCTTAAGCTTTATGTAAAGTAGGACAATATTAAGTCTAAGTAGACTGCAGTAACTTAAGGATGTATATTGTAATCTCTGGAGCAACCACAAAAAAAATAAGACAGAAGGGCACAGTTAGGAAGTCATTTGAGGAATTAAAATGAAATATGTATGCACCTAATAAGAGAGCTTTAAAATACTGGAAGTAAAAAAACTAACAGAGGGGCCAGCCAGGTGGTGCAGCCGTTAAGTTTGCATGTTCTGCTTTGGCGGCCTGGGGTTCACAGGTTCGGATCCTGGGTGCAGACATGGCACCACTTAGCAAGCCATGCTGTGGTAGGCATCCCACATATAAAGTAGAGGAACATGGGCATGTATGTTAGCTCAGGGCCAGTCTTCCTCAGCAAGAGGAGGAGGATTGGCAGCAGATGTTAGCTCAGGGCTAATCTTCCTCAAAAGAAAAAAAAAAAACAAAAACCAACCAAACAAAAAAAACTAACAGAACTCAAAGAGAGACATGATACAAATCCACAATCATGGCTGGAGATGTTAATTCCTTTTTTCTTAGTAACTGATAGAACAAAGATACGAAAAATTAATAAGGCTATAAGATATTTGGACAACACTATCAACCACTTTAACCTATGTTATATTATAGCACAGTACACCCAACAAGTGCAGAATACACATTCATTTCAAATAAATATGGAATACAACAGGAATCAATGAAATACACATGGAAAACAAGTCTCAAATTTCAAAAAAAACCTTACAGAACATGTTCTATGACCATAACAGAATTAAATTAAAAATAAAGAACAATAAGATATCTAGAAAAGTAGAAGATATTAAAAATTAAGCCATGTAAGTCTAAATAATCTATGGGTAAAAGAAGAAATGAGAGAAACTAGAAAATATTTCAAATTGACAGAAAATTTTAAAATAATGTATCAAAATTTGTGAATTGAAGCTAAAGCAATTCTTAGAGGGAAATTTATAGCTTTAAATGCTTATATTAGAAAAGAAGGTTTAAAATGAATGATTTTAGTTTCCATTTTAGGTAGACAGAAAAAGAATAATAAACACAAAGTAAATAGAAGGAAATAATGAAATGTTCAAACAGAAATCAATGAAATAAAAAATGGAAAAAATGAGATAAAATTAATAAAAGTAAAAATCTGTTCTGTGAATGATTAATAAAATTCATAAAGCCATAGAAAGATGAGCAAGAGAAAGAAAATGCAAATTATCAATATCAGGAATGGAAGAGGGAACAGCACTTCAGATCCTACAGACATTAAGGGATAGGAAATATTACGAACAACTTTATGTCATAAATATGAGAACTTAGATGAAACAAACTCCTTCAAAAACAAAACTTATCAAAATGGGTACAAGAAGAAATCGATAACTTGAAAGCACTATATCTATTTAAAAACTCGAATTCATAATAAAAAAAACTCTCCACAAGGAAACCTCCAGGCCCAGATGGTTTCACTGGTGAATTCTATCGAACTTTTAGGAAGAAATAATACCAATCTTACACAAACTCTATCAGAAAACAGTGGAGAAGGGAACACTTTTCAATTTGTTTTATGAGGCAAGCATAACACTGACACTGAAACCAGAGAAGAACCTTAAAAAATTAGAGACCAGCATCACTCATGAACATTGACACAAATAGCAAATTACATCCAGTAATATATAAAAAGGCTAATACATCAGAACCAACTGGGATTATGATGTATTACTTTTTTACATGCAAATCATAACGACAATGATATACCATTTCACATCCACTAGAACAGCTAAGATTTAAAAAACTAACAATTTCAAATGGTGACGATACGAAACAAACAGAACTCTTACACATTGCTAGTGGGCGCGTATGATGGTCCAGCCACTTTGGAGAACTGGTCGGCACTTTCATATAAAGGTAAAAAAATATACCTGTGACCAGCAATTTCACTAATAGGTATTTATCTAAGACAAATGAGAACTTATGTCTACAAACATACTTGTACCAGAATTTTTAATGCCACTTTATTCATAATAAGCACAATCTGGAAGCATCCCAAATGATCATCAACGAGAGAATGTATCAACAAATTTTGGTACACTCCTACAACAGAATACTGCTCAGCAACGAAAAAGAATGAACTGATATTATAAATGATAACATGGATAAATCTCCAAAATGTTATGTTAAATAAAAAACCCAGATACAGAAGAATTCATACTGTGGTTCCATTTATGCAAAGCTCAAGAACAGACAAAAGGAATATAATCAGAACAACTGTTGCCTAAAAGGGTGGAGACTGACTGGAAGGGGTCACAAGGGAACCTTGCAGGGAGATGGAAATGTTCTGTATCTTGTTTGGGATGGCGGTTACATGGCTGTGTATGTTTAACAACTCACTGAGTTGTAAACTTATAATCTGTGTATTTCATTGTATGTAAATTTTGCCTCAGTTAAGAAAAACAGATTGCAGGCTAATATGAAAAACATGTTCAACCTCACTAGTGGTCAGACAAATGAAAATAAAAATAGAATCTAACTTTTGCTTGTGAATTATGCAAATATAAAATAACAATCCTCAATGCTAGCAAGAGTACAGTGAAACAAGAAAGTTTTTAGATCCATGGCATAATTGTTAACGCTCTGGAAAATAATTTGGCAGTATGTAGCAAGAAGCTTAAAATAGTTTATACCATTAATCTAATAATTCCATGCCTAGAATTTGTTTCCTATGAAAACAATCAGAGGCTTGTACGACAACTTATGTATGTGGAATGAGTTAACAAATTATGTTCTATCCATTTGATGAACTATTTTATAAATATTAAAAATCCTTTTAAAAGAACATTTAATTGATATGAGAAAGTGCTCAGAATGTAGTGTTAGGTGAATGACAAGCATACAAGATTGTATTATAATCCTAATTTTGTTCACACATGCACACACACAGAAAAAAAAGATGAAGTAAATAGTCCTAAATGTTGAAACTAGTTATTTTAACATCAAGGGATTAGAGCTGATTGTGAGTTTGAGTCTCTATTTTAAATTCTTTTGGGTATAGACCTGTAAGTGGAATTACAGGATCACATGTAATTTTATGTTCAACTTTCCGAGGAACTGCCATACTGTTTCCACAGCAGCTGTACCATTTTATATTCCCATGAGCAATGCACAAGAGTTTTAATTTCTCCTTAAGGATGTTGGCATCCTTGCCAACAGTTATTTTCCATTTTTTGGATAACAGCCATCTTAACGGGGGTGCAGTGGTACCTCACTGTGGTTTTGATTTATATTTCCCTAATGACTAATGATGCTGAACATCTCTTCACGTGCTAATTAGCCGTCTGTGAATCTTGGAGAAATGTCTATTCAAGTCCTTTGCTCATTTTTAAAATGGCTTGCTTGTTTTTCTGTTGAGTTATAGGAATTCTTTATATATTCTAAATATTAATCCCTTCTCAGATATATGATTTGCAAATATTACCTCTCATTCTGTAGGTTGTCTTTTCACTCTCTTGGTAGTGGCCTTTGATGCACAAATGTTTTTAACTTTGTAGTAGTTCAATTTATCTATTTTTTTCTTTCACTGCCTGTGCTTTTGGTATCATACAAGAAATAATTTCCCAATCTAAGGTGATAAAGATTTTCACCTATGTTTTCTTCTATGAGTTTTATAGTTTTATCTCCATTTAATCCATGTTAAGTTAATTTTTGTTTATGGTATACGGTAAGGTTACAACTGCATTCTTTTGCATGTGGATATACAGTTTTCCCGGCACCATTTGTTGAAAAGACTGTCCTTTCCCATTGAATGGTCAAATTTTAATTGTCAAAATTTAACTGACTATATATATGAATATTTATTTCTTGACTCTCTATTCTATGCCTTTAAGAATATACATTACGTTTGTAATCTGAAGTTACTAAAATAGATGGAGAGCACAGACTCTGCTGTCTATACTCGCTAACCCAGATTCCAGAGGCACTTGGAAAATTGAGTCTAAGACATCCAATTTCCTTAATTAAAGAAAAAAAGATTTAGGGAAGGACCAACTGTTTTCTTCCAGCTGCAGCCAATGCAAGCATTACAGATAATCCTCGGGTGGAGTCAGAACACCCCAACAGGAGAGTCAGCATTTGCCCAGTGGCCTGCAGTTACAGCAGAAGGCGTAGTGGCAGCAGCTGGTCCTCAGGTGAAACCCCCAGCCCTGTGATGATACTCCTAGTTGCCGGGAGCTATCTGGCTTCATTCCAGCCCTCAAAGCTGCCTCTCCTGCAAATTTTCCTGGTCCATAGGCTACAGATAAGCTACATAAGAATGTTTGCTTTAGAGTCATTATCTTTCCAGACCTGTAAGTATAACTGGTACGAAATGTATTTACTCAAGCTGGGCTATAAACCCACCCGGGAATCCTAGAGCCATGGAAATCACTGCAAACTGATTGGGTGGGACCATTCCATAAGACAGCCTGAAAGGTGATAGTTGGGTATTGTTTGTTTTTGTTTTGGCATAAGGTGTAATTAGCAAACAATAAAAATACATGAATCTCAGGTGTTCTGTTGAGTTTGACAGATACATCTGTGAAACCACTAGCTAAAACATGATATAGAACAGTTCCTTCATACTCCATTCCATCAATTCCTTCCCCCAGCCAAGCAGCATTCTCCGATTTCTCTCACCATGGGTTTGTTTTGTCTCTTCTTGGATTTTGAGTAAGTGGAACCGTTCAGTATATGTTCTAGTGGAATTGCTGGGTCATAGGGCAGAGGTATGTTCGACTTATAAGAAACTGCCAAACAGTTTCCAAAGTGGTCACATCATTTTACACTCCCACTAGAGTGTATGAATGTTCTAGTTGCTTTACATCTTTGCCAACATTTGTTTTTGTTTTTTAATTTTAGCCATCTTCCTGTGCCTGCAATAGTTTCTTATTGTGATTTTAATTTGCATTTCTTTGATGACTAAAGATGCTGAGCACTTTATGTTATTGTCATTCACATATCTTCTTTTGTGAGGGGTCTGTTCAAATGAGCAATCAAATGATTTGCTCATTTAAAAAAACTTTACGTATTTTGGTCGTTTTTTTAAATTTTATTTTGTCTTTTTGTGAGGAAGATTGGCCCTGAGCTAACATCTGTTGCCAATCTTCTTCTTTTTGTTTGAGGAAGATTGTCACTGAGCTAACACCTGTGCCAATCCTCCTCTATTTTATGTGGGATGCCACCACAGCATGGCTTGACGAGTGGTGCTAGGTCTGCACCCAGGATCCATATCTGCGAAGCCCAGGCTGCCAAAGTGGAGTGTGTGAACTTAGCCATTACACCACTGGGCTGGCCTCTATTTCGATCATTTTAATGGGCTGTTCATCTTTTTATTGTTGATTTGTAGAAGTCTGTTATATATTCTCAATGCAAGTCCACTGTCACATATATATAGTAGTCTGGGGCTTATCCAAACTTTTTCTTAAGGGTGTCTTTTCTTTTGGTGAGCAGAATTAATTTTGATGAAGTCCAATTTATCAGTTTTTTCTTTTATTGTTAGTGCATTTTGTATCCTGGCCAAGAAATCGTTGCCTTAAAAAGTTGGAAAAATATTCACTTTTCTTCTAGAAACTTTATGATTCTGAGTTTTGTATATCAAGGTGTATAAGACTTTCAACTTTGCACTTTTCTTTTTCAAGACTGTTTTGGTTTTCATAGGTCCTTTGCATTTTTATGTAAATTTTAGAATCTGATTATATCTTCGAAAAAGCCTGCTGGAATTTTGATTGTGATAGTAATGAATCTATAAATGAATTCAGGAAGAATGAGAGCTACTAATTTTGACAGACTCCATCATTTAACAGGGTAAGGTAGCTGTAGTGAGACTCAACATTGCCCTCAGCAAAGTACAAGAACAGTTTTTAAATGTATTAATCAATATCATTTATTTTAAGGGAAACAAAAAATTAAAGCCACAAAGAGATACATCATATTGGCAAAAATCTAAAATCTGATACAACTCTGTTAACTATGCAGAAGGGAAAGAGGCACTCTCAAACACTGCAGGTGGGAATGTAGATGGGCACAACCCTTGAAGGGAAGTGTGGCAACAGCACAATTATAAACACATGTATCGTTTCACCCAGCAATTCCACTCTAGGGATTTACCTAGCAGATACAGTCACACACGTGAAAAATCACATGTGCATAAGGTTATGTGTTGTTTAAAGCAGCAAAAGACTTTGAAATAAATTATGGCATGTCCATACAGCGGAATATGATATAGCTTAAAAAAAGAATGAGGAGGGGCCAGCCCAGTGGCGTAGTGGTTAAGTTCACAGACTCCACTTCAGTGGCCTGGGGTTTGCGGGTTCAGATCCCGGGAGTGGACCTACACACCGCTCATCAAGCCATGCTGAGGCAGTGTCCCACATACAAAATAGAGGAAGCTTGGCACAGATCTTAGCTCAGGGACAATCTTCCTCAAGCAAAAAGAGGAAGATTGGCAACAAATATTAGCTTAGGGCCAATCTTCCTCCCCCCCCAAAAAAAAAAGAATGAGGAAGCCCTCTCTCTCCATATAATCAAATAGAAAAATTTTCTATATGTATTATTAAGTTAAAAAAAAAAAAAACAAGGTGAAGAACAGTATCATTTACTATCATAAAAAAAGACGTGGGGGAAGATGACTATTTGTATTTGTTTGTATAGGTTTAATGAATCATTGGGAGAAACACAAGAAACTAATAAAAGTGGATTATCTCTATGAGTGCAAGAACTGGTTGACGGAGGCAAGGGCGGGAGGAAGACTTTGCACTGCATACCTGGAAAGACTTCTTGATTTTTGAACTATGTGATGTAATAATATATATTCAAAAAATTAAACAAAGTAAATTTTGCAAATGAGTATCTGATGATGATGACAGAAAGAGCTACCAATAATGAACACTTAATAAATGCCTGTGCTAAGTACTTATATGCATTATCTCATTCCATCCTTATAGCAACCTTATAGGGTAGATGCAACAATCACTCCTATTTTACAGTTGAGGAAAAATTGAGACTCAGAGAGTTATGTAGCTAAGAAGTTGTAAAACTGGGATTCAGTCTGAAGTTGGTGTGCTTAACATCTGGGTAACAGTTTTGATACTGATATATATGTATTGATTGATATAAAAGAAAAAAGCAATTACCTGCTGCCCTTCTGTACCCTCCGCGGTAACCATAGCAACAGAGTGTGTTCCCGCTGAGGAGATGACTGCATCATGAGCAGGGACTGTGATGGGCGTGCCATCCTGCGTTACCATTGTGATGGTATTGCCAATGGCTTGCATGTCAGCTTGAGATATGTTGACCTGCAAAACAATGTATTTTACAAATCAGTCAATGTTTCTTGTCATATTTGGCAATCTTTATTAAGTACTAGGCCTAATCCTTGTATAAGTCTACTCTGTGGGAGCAAATAAGCATTTTACAATGGAATAAACTCTCTTAGAAAGACGTCATCAGAAAAATTGAGTATTTCTTAAATGCATTTCCTCTTCTCCATCTCTACTGCCAATTTAGACTCTTACTTTTCTCTCTTCTGACTTCCTGCAATAATACAACTTCTTCCCAGGTATCCAGTCTAATCCTTCCCTAACCATCCTCTACCTGGACACCTTTCTAAACAAACAAACAAACAAATGTCATTACACTCCCTGCTTAAATCCCCAGCACCTCGCCATCGCTACAGTTCAGACTTCTTACATGGTATTCATGACCTTTCACGATTGGCCTTTAATAGCTTCTCCAGACTCATCTTCCACTACTTCCAGAGCAGCATCTGGCACTCTTGCTGCAACTAATCATTTGCAGTCCCAGAGAGTGTCATATTCTCTTATATCTTTGCGACTTTGCCTTCCCTTCACTATGCCTGGTGAACTCCTGAAAATTCTTCAAGATCCAACTGAATGGCCATTCTCAATAAGGGCCTCGAAGATTCCTTCAGGAAGAATCGTTTACTCCTTCCTTCAGGCTGCCAAAACACTTTACATATCCCTTAATTATATACCCATTATTATGAGAAATAATTGTTCATTTTAGGAACGTCTCTCTCCTATGACACTATGACATCCCCCTTTCTGTACTCCCCAAATTAGTCTACCAGAATGTCGGGCATTGGGTAGATGTTCAATAATTGTTTAATTGACTAAAGGAATGGAATAGAACTCTAATTCCTAAAGGAAATGGGAAGGTTACATTTAGAGAAAACACAACATTGGGATGGGGAAAATAGTTATTTTGGAACAGATGAAGAGGGATTAGACTCATTCTATATGGTCAGAGAGGAGCCATGAGTGGATGACACTGTGGTAGGTTCCAGTCTGATAAAGGCTAGAATCATCCAACAATGGGATAGGCTGCCTCCTAAGGGAGAAACTGCCTCATCTGTTTTGGGCTGTTGTAGAGGGAATTTTTCCTGTACAGAGAGCAAGGGAGGTTAGATCAAATGATCTTCAAAGGGCCTCTGTCTGTGATGATCTAATTCAAGAAAGTGTCTTAGGGTTGATGCTGAATTAAAACTGGGTTGGTAAATATGTTTACTCTTGCATGCCAGTCAGTGGACAAAGAGTACTGCATGGAATTGGTGATGTCAAAAGTGATGGGGAGGGAGACGAACGGGATGGTACAAGTGCTTTGTATTTTCCAATCCTGAATAGGTCTTGCCTCCTGGTTAACATCAGCATGTTAACAGTTATCAACACAAAGGGCAGATTAATCAGGGAAGGTAAAGCTATGAGAGAGACAGGTAAGGAGAGTTCTCCATGGAAAAGGTAGATATAGGGGCTTAATGAACCCCAAATGCCCTTTTCCACCAGGTGCTAAAACAGCCTTAGCTAGAACTTAAAAATGAAATTGTCTGAATTATTTTAGGCTGGTGGTACCTAGAAAACAATAACAAGTTGGACTACCAGAGAACAGCCATTACATTGCTTTTCCTGGGGAAACTATCAATACTGTGAAGATTCTAAGGAATCTTCAAGGCCCTTAGAGAGAATGGCCACTCAGTTGGCTCTTGAAGAATTTTCAGGAGTTCACCAGGCAGAGAGTGAAGAGAAGGCAAAGTCACAAAGATATAATAGAATATGACACTCTCTGGGACTGCAAATGATTAGTTGCAGCGAGAGTGCCAGATGCTGCTCTGGAAATAGTGGAAGATAAGTCTGGAGAAGCTATTAAAGGCCAATCGTGAAAGGTCATGAATACCATGTAAGAAGTCTGAACTGTAGCGATGGCGAGGTGCTGGGGATTTAAGCAGGGAGTGTAATGAAATTTGTTTGTTTGTTTGTTTAGAAAGGTGTCCAGGTAGAGGATGGTTAGGGAAGGATTAGACTGGATACCTGGGAAGAAGTTGTATTATTGCAGGAAGTCAGAAGAGAGAAAAGTAAGAGTCTAAATTGGCAGTAGAGATGGAGAAGAGGAAATGCATTTAAGAAATACTCAATTTTTCTGATGACGTCTTTCTAAGAGAGTTTATTCCATTGTAAAATGCTTATTTGCTCCCACAGAGTAGACTTATACAAGGATTAGGCCTAGTACTCTGTGAAGCTGTGAAACTATCAATTCAGTGAACTCCCTTGACTCCAGGTAGGGAGAGAGCCTCACTTTGGCAATTTTACAGGGTTGCCCATCACTGCCTCGCCAGGATCTTTTAATGATGCCATCACACCTTCATCACCTCAGCCAAGGCTCTGCTGATTTCTTAATCTCATCTCTTGGATCCAATCAGCCACCAATCTGACTCCTTCTCTGAATTGTGTTTCACATGGATCCACTACTTTTCAAGCCCTCAATTTCACTGTGGTTCTGACCTTCATCACCTCACCTTTGAACTATACCAATAGCACCATCTGAATTCTACAGAGTCTCAAACCTTCTCTCTCCATAATCTTCCTGCACGTACTCTCTTTCAGCAGACTACTGAAAAACTCTCAGGAGTTTGAGCACTGTCTATAAGCTGATGTCCAAACTTTGTGCCCTGATATTCAAGGCTTTCCTCAATTGAGACCCAACCTGCCTCTCAAGCCCAGGTTCAGAGAAATATTATTTAACTCTTTGGCTTTTGGTGGATACTTACATGCTGAGTCCCGTCCTGGGATATGAGTGTAACTTGCTGACTCAACCCAGACTGGGTTACTGTGGCTACTTGTGTAGACACAACATCATCTCCTTCTACACCTGTAACATATGTGATCTGGGACCCTTTAAGAACATCTTCATTTTGACCTGTTTAAAACAAATGAATCATTTATTTGACCAAACAACCAAGCTGCTTAGAAAACAGAGAATATTTTAAATGTTACAGAGAAACATATACAAGTTAGACTGCATATATAATTATATTCTAAATCATGAAAATGGCTTCCAGCACCTCCTTCCAATTCCTCCACCTCCACTTTTGCAAAGCCAAACCAAATCAAAACAGATCAAACCAAATCTTTCCAAATATAATTTAAGTGTCCTAATTTTGGGAGACCTCTCTTATTCTCTTAGAGTAATTAGTGGTACTGGGCATGTGTATTGGGGCAGCCGAGGGGGAGAACTGCACAGGAAGACCGACGGACAAATAACCCTTCCAATATCACAAGTGCGCAACGAGGTTCTTGCAGTCACTTAAGAAGCCGTTAAAAATGATAAGACAATCTTCATACACATTAACCACAAAACCAGAATGATGTGTAAACACAACTTACTAAGTTACTTACTCTTTAACACAAGTGATTGATTGCAAGTCATCAGTACACAATGACATCATTGTGTAAAGACAATGTTAATGGGAGATTATCTGGGGTAAGGTTAATCATTTAATAAGTGACAGAACAGGAACTCCCATCCACTCCTTTATTTCATAAAGAACCAGCAAGTAAACAGCAATTTCAACAGTCTATTACTGCTATACTTGGCAACCAGAAAGATTACTGATCCCTCTTTTCTTCTATCACCTTGCACTCCCATAAAGCCAGAAGGAGGGTAAATGTGTTTTTTTTTCTTCAAAGAAGGATTTAATTTGCTAATTTAAGAGACTTCTCAAAGTTAATGGTTGACACATGCACTCATGAGGCTGTGGTCATCAGGTGTAATGGCCATGGCAGTCTTTACTTCATTTCTCTTTGTTCTGTTCCACACCTACCTGTGAACCACTAATTTCAATGGGGTACAAAATTTAGGGGATCATATGAGAGAAGAGGAACACAAGTCCATCCCTATTCTTGGAAAAACAATCTTAGTTGTTTTTTTTTTAAAACAAAATGTATATTATGTACTATTTTCTAGAATGCAAGAAGTTCTGACAATCTGAAATATCAACATTTAAGGAAGAGACTGAGGAAGCCTAAAAAAGGAAGAGTCTTAAAATCTAAGTTTGACATCACTAAAGCCTGCTTTCTAGCTGTAAGGATTCAGCCCTTGTTCTAACATCTAACCACGCACACTACGGTGCTTTGGCTAGAAAATAATACAGCATTCAAGACTGAGGGAATTGCTGTTTTCTTGCCATCACACGACAGAGATCTGAAAAGACAAATGAGAACCACGGGGAATCACGTGAGCAGGCAGTGAGTGATCTGTTCTTTCCATTATTCTCCAACCAACTTTCTTCACCTAAATGTTATTCAACGTTTCAACATCAGTTGTTAAGAATGGGGAAAGACGTTTTCTTTTCATTTTCAAATTTACTTCATTTAGGAGGTACTCAATGAAACAGTAAGACAACCTATTTTTTTGTTTGCTTTAGAAAAACCTACTTCACTTTGCCTATTTTCCTATGTTGAGTTATTTAACTGAAATCATAGAATGTAATTCTCTAAAATATTTTTTTCACAAGTTTATTCTGATTGAAATGAGTGTTTTTGTCTCCTACAACACTACCTAATAGCACATGAATCAACTAAGAGTTATTTGAGAGTGCTTCACTGCTCTTAAGATTAAGACCAGCATCCTTAAGGCACCCAAATAATCTAGCTGCCCTGCCTCACTTCCCACCTTCCCAGGCAGAAGTGCCACACTGGCAGGCTTCTTTCAGTCTCTCCAACTTACTTTGCTCTCTCTGAGCTCAGGGCTTTTTGCATGTGCCATTCCCTCTGTTTGGAACATTCTCTTGCCTTTGCTCCCTGTTCTCCTCCCTCCAACCCCTGCCTCTCCACCTAGTTAACCCCTATTCACCTTCTAGATCTTTCCAAAAGTCACTTCCTCAAGGAAGCTTTCTCTGACCTTCCAGACTAGACTAAGTTCCCTTCTTAAACATCCTAGACCACCAAGTACCCTTCTTTGATAGCACTTATCACAGTTGTAAATTACATGTTTGTGTGATGATTTGAATGAAAATTCATCATCTGAGAAGATGCTATGAATCATAAACCACGTTCATTACTGTCGATTCTCAAACACAGGGACAGACGTACTAGACAAACCCTCACCTGGGGGAGGCTCGAAGAAGGCTTCCTGCTCCTCCTCGATGGGCTCAGTGTCGTTGTGGGCCGTCCGTTTGTGCATGGCCAGCGTGGAGATCTGCTTGTACGTCTTCCCACAGTGGTTACAGTTGTATGGTTTGGAGTGAGTGTGAACAACATGATGTTTGTACAAACTGGAATATTCTGTAAACCTTTTGTCACACCCAGGGACTGTACAAACATATGGCTTTTCCCCTAAGTAAAGCACAGCACACAAAAAAATCAGCTTTTACATATGAAGGGATAATCACTCCATACTTCCCTGGGGAGAGGAGAAGCCTGTAATGGCAAAAATAATAGTTGTCAAATCTCTTTCTATCCTGCCACGAGGCAGCACACAAGAAAAGACTCCCTAACCATGGTTTTGACTTGGCTCAAAAGGTGGTCTGCATCCTGAGTGCGATCTCGTCCCTTCATTTCAAGGGACCAGAACAGTAAGGGTGGAGATGTTGCCCAGTTTAACTCTAAGCTTCGATGAAACTGTAGTTTATTGTTACCTATAACCAGATAAGCTATCATTAATGATGCTATACTAATAAGGACAATAATAAATGCAATTTTTACTATAACGAACGCAGCTTACCCTAAGGGTTTTATGAAGATAATAAAAAAGGATTTTCTAAAAAGTCTATTAGACACAGTTTGGACACTTCAGTACATCTAAAAGGACATATGTGTTTCATATTAACCTCACCTGTCTTCTTACACCCAATCAAAGGTACTGAATATTCTCTGAAAACAACTAGGTAATACAAAGGGAGGTAAAAACTATAATTCTTTTTCCATGAAATGACTGAGAACAATATAAGTGGTACAGAGATTTTTAGAACTGTTTATTATAGTAAATTTCAGACAGACACAAAAGTATAGAGAAACAGTGCAATAAACCCCCATGTACCAATCACCTAGCTTCAACAATCAACTCATGGCCGATATTGTTTCATTTATTCACTACACATTTCCTCCTCCTTCTGCCCTAGATTATTCTGAAACAGCTCCGATAGTATTCCATCTCATCTACAAATATTTCAGATTCTATATCCGAAAGATAGATCCTTTTTTTTAAAAAAACAAATTTAACAATACTTATTTAATATCATAAAATATCTAGACAGTGTTAACATGTAGTGGGGGGATCTAAAACTGAAAGCAAATTAGAACAAATTAACCTAATTTAAATGAATACTTTTAACTACACTGAAGGGGTTTGGGTGGGTAGATAAGGGAGAAAGAATGAACTAATTAAAGTAGCTCATACACACAGTATTTGACTAATGTCTTCAGTCTTCGACTAGGTTGGGGGTGTGGAGAACTGCAAACAAATTTTCAATCCTTTTAGTAGGCTTGTTTGTTGTAGTGGTATGGACAAAGTGGTTCTAAAACTATTTTAGATGTAATAAAAGATTGAGTAAATGTGTAAATGCTGTTGGAAGCCAGGGCTCTCGCTGTGGAAGAAGGGACGTACAAATACGGAATGAGGAAGAAAAGAAAGAGTTGTTGGATGAATTGGAATTGAAGGCACTGGTGTGAACTCATGTGATTTCTAAAATGTGCATTTGCATGTGTGTACACATGTGCCTTTCCCACTTTAACCTCATTCTGCACTTTCCTTGGGTAACTACATCTTTTCTCATGATTCTAAACATTGTAAAACCACCTACAAATAGTAAAATCGAACACTAATGTAATCTGTGATATAAATCTTGGACATAAAGTAGTTGGAGATTGCTTCCTGTTCTCTGCCCAGTGCCCCATTCTGGAAGCAGATCAGGTTCAAATGCTTATCTTGGTGGATGGTTGCGGGGAAGATGTGGTGAAAGCAAGACTAGGCAGGGAAATGGCAGGCAATTCCAACTCAGCAAACCAGCCCTACTGATACTTAGGATGGAGCAGAAATCGCCACTAGGTGGCACCAAACTACAGTCAGGATGCAAATAGATTTGAATTGCACCTTTGAGCTCCCTACTGGCTAGGTGCACAGCCTTATTGGGGTCATGTGATCAGCTTTGCAAGAATAGACTGCACTAATCTTTACACTCCACTTATACATGATGTGGGCATTTACTGTTTCATATACTTGATGATCATTAGCCAATCTTTTCTCCCAGCCCAAACCTATCTCTTGGGTCAGACCAACATTTATAACTACCTACTGGATCTCTCTACTTCAATCTTTCTCAACCATGTATGCATATAAAAGACAGGGAGTTTTTTATATACTGATACCTGGGCCTCACCTTGGTAAAATTATGTTGGAATCTTTGCAGAAGGAATTTGAGCAATCAGTCTATTTTTAAAAGGTGAAAACGTGCGGCCACATGAGAACATACTCTACCTGAATATTCCAAAGATCAGTATGGCCAAACTTAATGTAGGCATCCCGCTTATCAAAATCTAATTTGCCCATAAAACGTGTTGAATGGCAAACTCAGGTAATGAGTCTATAGTCCATTACTTTAAATGGGAAGAAAAATGTTTTCCCAGCCCATCTAAAAATCCTAGCCAATTTCCCCAAATATCACAAAAAGGCTCTTAAGCCCCGGTGTTATAATCCACCAAGAATGTCTGCATAATACGAAGCACTTAAGACACCAATTATCTAATTATTTAACATTCAATGAACTCAGTAGTGGGTATACGTTCATGTGTAATACACAATGATAAGGTATAGTATTGGACAGGAATTTTGTTTTCCTTCTATATCGCAAACATATACTATAATTTTAAAAGGAAATATCTTAAAGATATAAGAGGAATGCAAATTATATTAACAAAATATATTTTTTCTTCTAATCTACAGCCACCTTTTCTAGGCCTCTCAGGTTTTTGCAGCCTTTTCTACTTTTTTAGAAAACATATTAACTTAATGTAGGGAAGATGATAGCAGTAATGCATAATACACTTTCACAATGTAAGCGTAAAGTACGACTGTATTGGACACATGAATTCAATGTACTGTATGTTCTCTCACTTAGAAGCACATGCAACTTAAAATTTTTTCCTTTCATAGAAAAACGCAGCCACAAGTAGATAATAGTTGGTTTTCAATTTGAATCATAAATTTTGAGTAAAAATTCTGCAAATCATTATAACAAATATACAGATAGTAAGAGTTCAGGTGGTGAGGGACCTCAGAGACCTATATATTCCAAGCTGACACCGCCATCTTCCCTTTCCATTCTGCTCTTCCCTATCTTAGCATTAACATCTAACCTGTCGTTCAAGCTAGAATGATAGGTTCTTCTTTATTCCTCATGACTAACTTGCTCACCAAGTCCTCTTCAATGTCTTTCATCTGTATCCTTTTCCATCTCACTTCAAGTATTCTAACAGCCTGCAATCAGCCTCCTTGCTTATGGTTTCATGTCCCTTTAACTTCCTTCTATCTTATTGACCAAGCGATTTTTTTCTAATAAAGCAAATTTTCTTTAAATTCTCTTAAGGCTTCCCCTCTGCCCATACCAGTATTCAAACTTATTAATGTATCCCTTTTCAAAGGAAGGGATTGGTGTAGGTCCCTAAAAATATTTCCAGAGATATCCGTGGATCTGTGGAATGCAGCCTGAGAAATAATGACTTATGCAATTAAAGTGCCATTCTGTAAAAATATCTTTTCATTTTGAATTATCATAAGTTTACTCTTAATACCAGTAATAAAAACAATATATTTAAAAATTTCTTTCTTTTTTTTCTTTTTGTGAGGAAGACTGGCCCTGAGCTAACATCTGTGCCAGTCTTCCTCTATTTTATGTGGGATGCCACCACAGCACGGCTTGATGAGCAGTGCTAGGTCTGCGCCCAGGATCTGAACCTGTGAACCCTGGGCCACTGAAGCAGAGGGCCCGAACTTAACCACTATGCCACTGGGCCAGCTCCTTAAAAAATTTCTTGTAAAACAAATGCACATTCTGCCCTCCCCTCCTCTTTGCCTTTCCATTCCCACCCACCAAAAATACATCCACAAAGTAGAAGACCAAAATTAAAAACCTTTGTGCTAAAAAATGGTATCATCAAGAAAGTAAAAGACAACCTACAGAATGAGAGAAGATATCTGTAAGTCATATATCTGCTATGGGACTTGCATTCAGAATATAATAAAGAATTCTTACAACTTAAAAATAAAAAGAGAACCCAATTTAAAAAATGGGCAAAGGATCTGAACAGATATTTCTCCAAAGATGATATACAAATGGCCAATACGCCCTTAAAAAAATGCTCTACATCATTAGCACATCAGGAAAATGCAAATCAAAAGCACAATGAGAGAGACACCACTTCACACCCATTAGGATGGCTATAATCAAAAAGACATAAGAACAACTGTTAGCTAGGATGTGGAGAAACTGGAACCCTCATACATTGCTGGTGGGATTGTAAAATGGTGCAGCCACTTCAGAAAACAGTTTGGAAGTTTGTCAAAATGTTAAACACAGAGTTACCATACAATCCAGCAATTCCACTCCTAGGTACATACCCAAGAGAAATGAAAACATATGTCCACACAAAAACTTGTACACAAATGCTCATAGCAGCATTATTCATAATAGCCCAAAAGTGATGAATGGATAAATAAAAGTGGATGGATAAAAGAATGGATAAATAAAAGAATGGATAAATAAAATATGACGCGTTCATATAATGGAATACTATTCTGTAATCAAAAAGGAAAGAACTATTGATACATGCCATGACACAGCTTAACCTCAAAAACATTATGCTAAGAGGGGCTGGCCCCGTGGCGGAGTGGTTAAGTTCGCGCGCTCCGCTGCAGGCGGCCCAGTGTTTCGTTAGTTGGAATCCTGGGCGCGGACATGGCACTGCTCATCGGACCACGCTGAGGCAGCGTCCCACATGGCACAACTAGAAGAACCCACAACGAAGAATACACAACTATGTACCGGGGGGCTTTGGGGAGAAAAAGGAAAAAATAAAATCTTTAAAAAAAAAACAAAAAAAAACACAAAACATTATGCTAAGAGAAAGAGGCCAGATAAAAACACCACGTATTATATGATTTCATCTATATGAAATGCCCAGAATGGGAAAATCCATAGAGACAGAAAGTAGATTAGTGATTGCTTATGGCTGGGGCTTGGGAGTGGCAAAAGACTGCCAGCAAGTATGAAGTTTCTTTAAGGTGGGATAAAAAATGTTCTAAAATTGGATCACTGCAATGACTGTACAACCCTAAATATTGCATATATTTAAAAACATTGAATCATATACTTTAAACAGATGCACTATATAGCATGTGAATTATATCTCAATAAAGTTGTTTTTAAAAAAAGAATATATGGGGCCAGCCCTGTGGCATAGTGGTTAAGTTCGGCGCACTTTGCTTTGGCAGCTCAGGGTTCACAGGTTTGGATCCTGGGCGTGGACTTACACCACCCACGAGCCATGCTGTAGTGGCGACCCACATATAAGATGGAGGAAGACTGGCACAGACGTTAGCTCAGGGCTAATCTTCCTCAGCAAAAAAAAAAAAAGAGAGAGAGAGAGAGAGAGAGAATATATCCATAGACTACGCCTCCCTATCTGTGCCACAAGCACCACAAAGCTCAGTTTAAGAAACATCCTTACCATGGCAGCACAACACACAGGGCCCCTGCCTGCCTCTCTGACCTCACCTCATACTGCTCTTCTGCGTGTGCTCTATGCTTCCAGTCGCAGGGAACCACCCAGTGTTCTCCAAATTAGTCATGCTTTTCATACTTTTGTGCCTTTACTTGTGACATTTCCCCTGATAGGAATACCCTCCCTCTAGCCAGCAAACTTTAGGATTCAGTCTAAAAGTCAAATTCGCCTGTAAAGTCTGCCCAGAAGGCTTCTCTCATCCCCGCAGAGATGGCTGCTCCCACAGCATCCTGCTCAAGTCTCAGAGACACTGCACTCTGCAGCAGTTGTATGTCCACCATCTCCCCAACTCAGCTGCCCCTGACGATGTCTTATCTCTCTGTATCTCTGATGCCTGGCAGGGGAACACACAGCAGACGCTCAATAACCATTTTTGGAAGAAATGAATGTATAAATGCTAGGGAGGTTTTTTTTTTTTTTTTTTTTTTTAAAGATTTTATTTTTTTCCTTTTTCTCCCCAAAGCCCCCTGGTACATAGTTGTATATTCTTCGTTGTGGGTCCTTCTAGTTGTGGCATGTGGGACGCTGCCTCAGCGTGGTTTGACGAGCAGTGCCATGTCCGCGCCCAGAATTCGAACCAACGAAACACTGGGCCGCCTGCAGCGGAGCGCGCAAACTTAACCACTCGGCCACGGGGCCAGCCCCGCTAGGGAGGTTTTTTAAGTTGTTTAATCCCTCTCGATCATGCCAAGTGGTGGGAAGGAGGGAAGTGATTACTTGGAAATGGTTTGTGGAAGAGGCAGGAGTTAAAGTGAGTCTCGAAAGACAGAAGACCAAGACATCAGAGATTCTTACCTGTGTGTATCCTCACGTGGTTTTTATAATTGGTCGCACTGGCAAATGCTCTCCCACATCCTGGTTCTGTGCAGTAATAAGGTCTTTCTCCTGTGTGTGTCCTAATATGTACTTTTCTGATATTTGATGTTGTGAAAGATCGACCGCAGCCTTCAAAGGGACATTTAAAGGGCCTTTCTCCTGAAACAAAAAAGGGAATAAATTAAATAGTGCAAAAATACATAGAAAATTAAAATACCTTATCCTTCAGTTCTTCCTGGGATCATGTTCAGGATTTTAGCCCTCTTGTATTGAGTTTCCCTTTCAGGTTTTGTTTTCTTTTTTTCTCTGTAAACAGCATTTTCTACTCCAAACTTAAATTTACATAGAAAAATCTGAATGGTATTCAAAACTCATCACTGATTACATGAGTCTCCAAGAGGGACTCAGCCAGATGGGCACCTTTACAAATGAGCTGAGAAAAGCAGAGAAAGAAACACATAAAGAAATACAAAAGAAAAACAGAGTCAAGAATAAGGATTCAGTTAGAATAACCCTAGAATCCCCTAAAAGCTTGTCGCCTATTTTATTTATTCTATAATACCTTGAAGAAAAATAACTTTTGGTCTTTTAAAAATCTAGTGTCTAGCACATAACAGGCATCAGAAATACTTGATTACTATTCTCATAATCTAAGCTTATGGTAAAGTCTTCTCTGCCAAGTATACTCCTTTTCCTCATACACATCTGCTTTGTACAACCGTGGAATCCAGAGAGCCTTTCATCTGTCAGGCAGGAAGGCGCCTCTGCTTTTGCTGCCTATGTGTCGTTTTCTAGATGAGCCCAAAAGAAGCAAACAACTTCTGGAATAGAAGAAAAATCTCTCTCTATATGTCTGTGTGTAGATAGGTAGATAGAGACATTTACCTATATATATAGTTTTAAGTTTGTTATTTTTCTTTTGGTCAAGTGAAATTATGATTTACCTGTTGGTGGAAACCATTCCAAAAGATTTCTGCCCTCAAGAATAAAATCATTTAGAAAGGGGCAGGAATCTCTGATCCTTTCTTTAGTGAGAGTTTTGTTCAATATGTTAACCTAACGAGAACGAAGAGTTTACCTAGAGTAAGTCCCTTCTCCTCTCTGGCTCTGGATGGCCTCCAGCATCTCCCCAGCCCTGACATGCTAGGATAAGGAATCAGGCCTTCTAGGAATTTTCCTTGTGCCACATATCCTACTCCTCTGACTCAGCAGCAACTCGCTTTGTGTTTGCACTAAATCACTTGTGTTTGTAATGGAAGTCCCTGAAGCCCCTTAACTCAGTCCAGCTTAGATCAATGAAACTATGCACGATTTAAAAACTGGCGCATGAATAGGTGGTTTACTGAGTGAGTACTATCAAAGGCATTACAACTACGATGTTTCCAACCAAATATTAATGGAACTAGATTATGGTTTTTATGTAACTTTTATATAAAAAGTTGGCGTTACACAGCAAATCGAAATAGAATTTGCAGGAGCTTGGTATCACTTGCCTCTGATACAATGGATAAAAATAAGTGCATGAATGAAAGAGAGGCAGAGGCCTACTGCTTTGTTACTGAACATGATAAAGTGAAGCCAATTTGGGATCATATTTGAATTAAAACTTAAATTTTAATGATTGGAAGAATTCTCCATGGAAATTTGCTAAACTGTTTTTGGGGACAAAGTTATCATACTATGTTTAAAACATCTGTCGTAAAAATCTCAAAATGAAATTATCTTATGCTATATTACTTAGTCAACAGCTTATAACAACATCTCTTATCAACTGTTTCTGAAATTCTTCCAGCTCTGATCCAAAGTAAATAATTACCTTTATAGTACCAATTCCATAAATTATCAAGTACAATGAAGGGAGGGGAGATAAGAACAAAGTATCCTTTAGGAAAAGGAGAGAAGGAAACTTAAAGGGGAGAAGAGATGATCAGAAGGAAGTGACAAGCCTTTCTTCCTGTGGGCTGCGAGGGCTTCAGACACATTCTTCAGCAGCGACTTAATGCAGGGGAAGTATGCTAAACTGGGAGGGAATCAGGCGAGAAGGCACTGAGTTTCTGGCGTCAGTCGGGCTACTAAGCAGATATGTAATCCTAAGTAAATAAGCCTATTGCTCAGATAATTCCTGAAAACAGAGAGTTGGTGGTCTAGGGCCCTTGTTAGCTTTTTGGGGACACGGACTCCTCTGAGAATCTAACAAAGGTATGGGCCTCATCCTGGAAAGAAGCATACATGCGCAAATGGCAAACTGCACGGAATTTCAGGAGTTTAAGAGAAGCCCTTGATGCTGACTCCCTGAAACTCTTCCAGAGGCTCCTTCCCCAGGCCCCTCCCTGCAGATTAAGAACTCCCAGCCTAGATACGATATTTGTTCACACCCGTACCTGTATGAGTTCTGATATGTTTCTGGAGGTCTCCTGAAGTTTTGAAAGATTTAGTACAATTATCTTCTGAACACCGATATGGCTTTTCTCCTGTATGAGTTCTGACGTGACTTTTTAATCCATAACCTTAAAGAAAAATTTAAAAGAAATTTATTTTCTAATTACAGTAATTAGACCTCTTTAGGCACACTCATTGAGATTAAGCTATTGAAAAATACAGTAAATACCAAGGATATAATGCTAGGCAAACATAACAAAATAATTATTAAAAATGCATGGTTATGACAGCTCAGGACTGTCATGCTTTGTTCAACAGTTTCATCTCTGTCTAGAAGAGGTTGTGTGTGTTTCTTTCTTTAAAGTGCCCCAATCTTATTAGATGTTCCCAACTCAGACTCCAAAAGCTTGAAGTGGAATTGAGACAAGGGATGAGGAAAAGGGTGGCGGTGAGGAGGCCTGGTACCAGTCCTGGCCCTGCTGGAGGTGTCCCTGGGCAGGCCCCATCCCACTGCTAAGTCCCAGCTCGCCATAGTTCCCTAAGGTCTGTCCTAACTTTAAGTTCTGCGTCAGCTTTTAATCCTTGGCTTTTACTTTTCCTGCTAAAGAGAGCAGAGTGTGGAGTGGAAACATCAAACATAGTAGGCAGAAACAGGTGTGAGGCGAAAAATGAGGAGAGAGAGAGAATAGAGCAAGCAGGACAAGAGACAGTTAAGGGAGAGACTGAAAAACTGGTCACTGTGCATCCACTAACTCAGACAAAGGCAAGGGATCAGTTCCTGTCTCTGGTCTCTCTCTGTTTGACCCCTAAGTGGAACCAAGAAACAAAGAAAATTCATGTTTTTACCTGTTGCAAATGCCTTCCCGCAGCCTGGATGCTCACACTGATAAGGCCGGTCTCCTGTGTGCGACCTCTCATGGACCTGTCCGGAAAACGCAGGCATGAGTCGATTTCCTTCGGGCACTCCTCAGGTAGACGGTGTCAACACAGACCTATCTTTATTTTTCACTGCTAAATTATTTTGTTGTTTGTAGGTTATTTTTGAAAAATAAAAGATAACTTTACTTTTCTCAAAAACTACAGAGCAATAATTCTTAATATAGCCCTAAATGAGTTATGGTAAGAAGCACTCATTTTAAATAAGGAACGGGAATATGGGAGGTTTGAGTTTTCTACAGTTGTCAGAGGCATCCGCATGGAATCTCTAATGGGGAGGGCTGGAGCAGAGTGCAAGGAGGGACTCTAGCACATAAGGTTAAGAGTGTGGAGGCTGCTGCCAGAGGGGCCTTGATCTGAGTCAAGGCTTCACCACTGAAGAGTGCTGTGGCCATGACACTTGCCTTCTCTACGCCACCAAGTCCTCTCTGTAAAGCAGAGACAGAACAGTATCTACTGTAGAGGGCTGCTGTGACAAATGAACAATCATGACAATGGCCAACATTACTGCATGTTTACCACGTGCCAGGCCACTCTTTTCAGTACTTTACATGCACAGTATTAACTTACTGAATTCTCACAACCACCCTATGCGGGAGGTACTTTTATCATCCAATTTTACAGATAAGGAAAATGAGGGACTAAGAGGTCCAGTAACACGTCATGGTCACACACTGCAAAGCAGTGGAGAGGGGCTCTAGGGCTGCAACTCCAAATGTGCTAAATGCACACATCCTGATACACGGTAAGTTGGCCAATAAACGTTAGTCAAAAATGTCATTTTTATGAGTCATGGTATGTTGTGTTTAGCTGCAATCAAAATATTTGGCCTACGTATTTGAAAGACAGGAGAAATTAACATCAGCTTTTGCTAGATTTCAGCAAATCACTGTTAACAGAGTGATTACACACATCTCTCATCATATAAATTTCACATTTGACAAAAGTATATTAAAATATATAGGGTACCTACCACATGCCAGGTAGGTGGACACCAGGGATACAGAGAGGAAGAAAACATAGTCCAAGCCCTCAAAGAGTCGACAGCTTCTAAAATCTGCATAGGCTTTTGTGTGTTTGTGTATGAGTGTGAGTGTGTGTCTGTATCTTGAGAAGTGGGGGAACCAATGACATTTGGATGCTACAAGTATATCATGTTGGCATTTAATGTCCTACATATTCTCCTAACTAGATAAAGCATTTCCTTTATATCTACCTTTAGATGGTGAGCTGTTGTGTATAATTTTCCACATCCATCATATTCACATCGAAATGCCTTTTCTCCACTCTGTTGAGATTTAGCAGTTACTCTTGTTGCATGTCCTTGTAAGACAATCTAGATGAAAAAAAGGTATGATTTAAATTATTTATACAGAAATAAAATAGACGAAATTACTATTTTCAGAATTAAAAAGATAAAACTGTATTGGGGTTTTCAGATTCGGGTCATCATTTTATGAAGATTCTATCATGCTGAGCCAGTTAGGTTAAGTCTGTTCCATGGCCGAATGGAAGAAGTCAAAAGGAGATCCACAAGGGTGCACAGCCATTGCTCACAGATCTATTCCTACTCTAGAAAAATCAACCCAGTAGCATTACCATTGTATGCAGGTATTCCTTGACATACTCAAGGAATATATTTATATGTATATTTTTTAGGACATGTATCCTAAAAACAATATAAAAAGCATTTTCAATTTCAAAAGAAATGAAAAAGGAGGGGTTAGGTCATTTGAGTCTTGAGTCCCCTGTAGGAGACATTATAATCCATATGATCCTGGTCTGTACTTATAGTCAGTAGATCATTTTCCTTGGATTCAACAGCACAAGACTTCACACAATAGCACTGATTTTAGAGGGTTTTTAAAGACGACCACCTATTTTAGAAATTAAGATACCATGAAAATTGACGAACGACTTTCTGCTCTGTGGACCATGCGGTGACAGTGTTACAACATCCTACCTGTGCAGACTGTCACACATGGCTCAAAAATGACTCTGCCAAAAACTTTTTTATATTGTAAAAATTTCAAAATAATGGAGCAAAAATCGTCATCACTGAGGAGAGACTATAGATGCTAAAGGCTGAAAGAGGAATCTGAAAATGAAAGGCATAACAAAATTAAGCAGATGACCTTGATGGCTTTTTCCCAAAGAGCTGTTAGCATCTCTTTGGTTTTTATTAACGAGAACTCTTATTCCCAAAACAGATTCCTGCTCCTGTTCTAATGTCTACACTGCATGCCTCAAGAGCACCAGGTGGTGACACAAGGGGCAGAAGCTCCAGTTTAGGAAGAGCCTCTGAGTGTGTGCCTGCAGCGAGGAAGGAAGGTGGTAACAACAGAATTTCTTCTTTCTAAACCAGCTGAAGTCACTAGCATTTGACATGTTATGAGACTTATTAGTAAGGGCTGTTTGCAATAGAACTATTTCTACTAGTAGCTCTAATTATCCCAAACAGACCTGGCCTAAAGGCATTCTCACAAAGTACAGTAGGATGAGCACCTATAGCAACACCCAACTATCAAAAGGAACCTCTTGAAAGAAAACCACTGAAAAGACAATGCCTATAATGCTGTGAAGAATTCCAAGAAGCCAAGGGAAACAAAGTCAAAAAGCCACTTCGGCTTTTATTTCAATACACAATGTTTGGGATGAGATTCTCTCCCCCTTTCTTGCAAATGTTTCTTTGTAAGGCCCTTTATCTCTCAATCTTGGCTAAGGTTTATTTTTTTGATTTTCAAACTGTTTTATTCTACTTGGAACCTGCTTTGTGTCTACCACCTTCCTCTTATTTCCAATCTAACCTCCCCTTCCACCTACCTTCACCCCCACCATGGCAGAAATTCTGAAATAATAAATGTTTGACAAGTGATTAGTGAAGTCCCTACCTCATACAATGTTATTTAATAAGATATGGTCCCTGCCTTAGTAGGGCTCTCATTCTAGCTAGTGAAACTGTCCTATAAATGAAAGATTATAATAGAATATAAGAATTGCTATCACAGCAATCCTTGCAAAGTTCTATGGGGGACAAAATTTGAAAGTGGGGAGAGCTGTAGGTTAGGGCGAGCTGTCTAGAGGTGAAATCTGAAGGCTGAAGAAGAGGGGTAGGAAGAGCAGTCCAGGCGGAAGGAACAGTATGACCAAAAGTATGGAAGTGTGTCTGCAAGAACTGGAAACAATGAGAGTATCACGTCTATACAGTCATGCGTCACTTAATGATGGGGACACATTCTGAGAAATGCATCACTGGGTGATTTCACCATTGGGCAAACATCACAGTCTGTACCTACACACACCTAGATGATACAGCTTACTACGCTAGGCTATATGGTACTAATCTTACGGCACCACAGTCATATATACGGTCCATTGTTGACTGAAATGTCGTTATGCAGCGCATGCCTGTATAATAGAATGAATAACATGAAAAAGAAAGGAAAGTTCAGGATCATATTTGGGAAGAGCTTTAGGTGCCATTCTGAAGAGCAAACCCAAATAATGAAAGCAAAAGCAAGGCATTAAAATTTTTAAAGTAAAGGACTGACGAAGATGAGCTCTGTGTTTTAGACAGAGAACTCTGGTAATGGTGTGGAACAGAGAGAGAGAGAAAAGAGGAAAGGAGACTAAAAGAAGTTTGCATAATCAGAAATATGCAGGCAAGAAGTGATGGAAACCAGCCTAGGGCAATGAATATGGAATAGAAAGCAAGAGATGATTCTACAGAAATTTTAAGGATGAAAATGGACAGAATCCAAAATTCACAGGCTAAATTAATAGGCTAAATTTGTAACAGGTATTTCAGAACTATATGGTATCAGATATATATTGTCTTTGTTAAAAGAAAAACAACCTGATATTTCACAAGCGAAATGTCTCAAGGGCAATTTAGAAGCTAATATTGGGGGCCAGCCCCAGGAGCCTAGTGGTTCAGTTTGAAGTGCTCTGCTTTGGTGGCCTAGGTTCAGTTCCTGGGCACGGACCTACACTACTCATCTGTCAGTGGCCATGCTGTGACAGCGGCTCACATACAAAAGGAGGAAGATTGGCAGTGGATGTTAGCTCATGGTGAATCTTTCTCAGCAAAAAAAAAAAAAAAAAAAAAAGAAGCTAACACCAGTGAAATACTAATAAGCTTCTAAAACCATTTATAGAAAATGACTTCATTACTATTTATACTTAATGTATGTCCTGAGAATTGAGATAACCTTAGCTCTGCTGTAAATTCACCACATGACCTTGTGCAAGTCACATAGGGCCATTTTGCCTAACTGTATAAAGAATACTGTGCTAAAGCAGTGATGTTTTTTCTTTTTTAAACTTTTTTTTAGGAAGTCACACACAGATAAAGGCATTCCTGCTGCTGCTAATCCAGGCAGGTGTGGGTGGCTCAGAGCTCTGCTAGTCCCCAAGGGACCTCAAAGAAACCTGTGGTTCTCCAAAAATCAGGGTTTGAAAACCAGTGTACCAGACAGATAATGGCAAGTCCCTTCTAGCCTTAACATTCTAGAATTCTGAGGAAATGCAAATCTCAGTGAATAAAGGGCTGTGTTTAAAATTGGATCCCAAAGTGACTTCAATGATAAAAGGTCAACTACCACTGACTGAGGAGTTACATTTACGTGAGGAATGGGGGCGGGTGTTCTGCCTGTGCTGTCTTATTGGTCCTCCATGACTAATCGATGAATTAAATACTATTTGTGATTTACAAATAAGAAAAACAGGCTCAGAGTGGTCAGGTAATATAACTTGCCCATGGTCAAAGGCTGGCAAGCAGGATTTGAAGCAGGTTGGCTCTAGAGCTCAAGCTATTAAGCCACCAGGCTTTACGATGCTGTAGCCCAGTGGTAATGAACTGGCAGAGCTTCTGTAGTCACAGAGTGACCTGGTAGGGTTGAGGATAACTGGTGCATTTTACTGTGTGGCCAGTACTTAAAATCCATTTACTATAATGACCTAATGCATATGACAGATATGACATGTGATGTGAGTAAACTTGTATATTAGGATATAAATAATTTATACTCTTGGGGGAGGATAAAAATCAAAACAGCTTGAGGAATTTTTTAAAGTACGTCCTCTTTCAAGAAAGGAATTAATCATAGACGTGTGGCAACAGAGGGACCTTTAGGGAACCTGGGACATGGGCATTGCCAGAAAGATTTTGAAAACAAAAAAACAAATAACCCCATAGATTTCTAACAATCATTACTATTGGGCAGTGGTTCTTTACTTTTTATTTTTACCTCTCTATACCATTTGAATTTTCTAAATATAAACACGATCACTTTTTTTTTTTTTTAAGTATACCATAGTTATCTATATACTACAGTAATTGGTCATTTTGGGTTTTTTCTTTGTACTTCTCTGAATTAAAAAAAAAAAAACCTACTAAAATATTATTAAAAAAAGTTCTGGGTTCCATCCCAGGCCTACTGACCAAATCTCTGGAAGACAGTCTTAGTCATGGGTTATTTTTTAAAAGCTCCACAGCTCAATCTCGTGTTTGCCCCTGATTACCACTGGTCTAATTCTTTTCTTTTAGACATGAAAAAAAGATTCTTAGACTAGGCAAGTTCACTTCCTCAAGATCACATAGCTAGATAAAAGTACAGAAAATATACACAAAATATGATCCACAGTCAAACTTATTTTGAACAGGTTTTGGGGTAATTATCTAACCCACGTTCTGGGAGAATCTGCCAACCAGAGAAGATGGTATATTTAAGGCTGCCCAGTGATCTATGTCTTATGTGGCCTGGCTTAAAGGGTCAAGCTGAGTCCACAAATTCTCCTTCCCTGGAATTTGACCTAAGAAATAAAGGGAAATCTTGAGTTAGTTGTGGGTGGTAAACCGGAAAAAGCGTGGCTATGACGAGCCATATACAAACTCAGTGAAGACAGAGAGGAAGCCTGTGTGTAGAGAAAAGAAGGGAGCAGAGATGCCACGAAAGAGGGGAGGAGGAGGGAGATCAGCCCCAGTCCTTTGCAGTTCTGCTCCTGTGAAGCCCAGCTGTTCAGCAGTTCCTGTTCTGGGCTTTACGTAAGCTCTGCAGTATCCTTAAAATATATCATTTTTCTTGAGTTAGTCTGACTGGCTTTCTGTAACTTCCAGCAATTAGAGCTCTGATTAAAACTGCCAAGCCAAAGAACTTTGATCTCCAGTGTAAATAAAATTAGTTTTGAATGAAGAATACCAGGCCTTGAAAAAAGGCCTGGTATCTAAGAACATGTAAAGCATCAACAATGCTGTATAATGCTTACACATTTCCAAATTATGTTCTCATGTATTACCTAAAATATTAATCAAATGAAAATCTCATTTGGTTTTCATAAACCCACGAGATGGGTAAGGCAAAGTTTATTACTACTCTCATTTAACAGACTAAAAAATCTCAGATCCAGAGAAGTTAAGTATTTGCTCATGGTTACACAGTTACTACACAGCAGAGTGGAAACTCAACTCAGAATTTCTTATTACAAATTATGTGCTACTTTAATACCATGCTGTTTTCTACTTAACTAAGGGTGGTGAAGCATGAGGGTAATAGTCATAGTCTCCCCAAAATACACACACCCCACCATCCTACAGTTCTTACAACTGAACACATGGGCATTCTTAAATAACTATTTTAGACCAGGGTTTTCAAATTCAGCACTACTGACATTTTGAACAGGGTAATTCTTTGTTGTGGGGGGCTGTCCTATGCCTTGCAGGATATCTATCCAATAGATGCCAGTAATACTCCCCGAGTTGTGACAACCAGAATTGTCTCCAGACATTGCCAAATGTCCTCTGGGGGGCAAAACTGCCTCCCCATGAGCAAGGTTGCTTTAGATGCACTTGGTCTTTCTTGTCCTGTGAAATCTGGTTTCATGGAAGAGATCAGCTCAGCAGCACAACTAGTATGATAATGTTAGAGACGAAAGAAAAAGCTTTAAACTGTAAGCATCACAATGAAAAAAAATCTAGAGCTTTGAAACAAGACTATTTACAAAAACTCTGTTGCATTAGCTACAATCTCTTTACTTTAAAGTTCAGCCAGGAAGAGAATTAAAACTTCTTAAGCAACTCTGGCAGAAGGACAAGGAGCACTGAGAGACAAGCTGAGAAGTTACAGGTGCTGCTTATTTGCAGTGGTTCTTTTGGGATATTTGACCTTTTAATACCATGTAGTGGGCCCTCAACCTCACACGGGGCACTCAATTGTTTTAGAGGATGGAGGATTCATGAACTTCTGGTCCAGCACTAATGAAGAGAAATATAATGAGTCACCAACGCAAGCCACGTATATAATAAAAAATGTTTTAGTAGCTACATTTAAAAAGTCAAAAGAAACAGGTGAAATTAATTTTAGTAACTATTTTATTTAACCCAGTATGTCCAAAATATTATAATTTCAACATGTAATAAATATGAGAAATTATTAATGAGATATTTTACATTCTTTTTTTCATAACAAATCTTCAAAATCCAGTATGTATTTTACACTCACAGAAAACCCCAGTTCTGACTAGCCACATTTCAAGTGCTCAATAGCCACACGTGGCTACTGTATGGGACAGTGCAAATCTAGTCTCTAAGGGAGAGGTACAAAGGGCAAAGGAGAAAAAGTTACAGTCAAAAGAAATTCCTATTCAGCTTTCTTCTATTTCTCTGTCTAGTGGCACCAACAAATGGTTATATGTCTGCAGATAAAGAGTAATGGGGCTTTATATGACATTTTGCTTCAGCAGTTCTGAATTCCGAGTTAGGTTTCTGGGTTCAGATACTAATTATTGATGGTAACAGACTTTTATGATAATAGTATATTATAACGTTATATGGCTCAATGGTAAATTCATTCATTTTTTTGTAAGACATTCTGTATTAGTTTATTACAAGTGTAGTTACAACTGTCTTTCTTTAAAAATATCCTATTATTAAAAACCTAATTGTTAGTCACTAATAAGAGACAGAACCCATATTGGGCCACTCCAAAAACTGACAGACATTTCTTGTGTATATTTACACTGCGTTTGCATTTTACTAGAGTTTGACTTAGGTGGATTTGACATACTGCAGTATAAAAAATTTTAGGGGCCGGCCTGGTGGCACAGGGATTAAGTGCACACTTTCCACTTCAGCGGCCCAGGTTTGCCGGTTTGGATCCCGGGTGCGGACATGGCACCGCTTGGCACGCCATGCTGTGGCAGGCATCTCACATATAAAGTAGAGGAAGATGGGCATGGATGTTAGCTCAGGGCCAGTCTTCCTCAGCACAAGGAGGAGGATTGGCAGTAGTTAGCTCAGGGCTAGTCTTCCTCAAAAAAAAAAATTTTTTTTAAAGTGTTGTGCCAGCCCCAGTGGCCTAGTGGTTAAGTTCAGCAAGCTCCACTTTGGCGGCCTGGGTTCAGTTCCTGGGCGCAGACTTAAACCACTTGTCTGTTAGTAGCCAAGCTGTGGTGGCGACTCACATAAAAGGAAAAAAAGAGGAAGACCGGCAATGGATGTTAGCTCAGGGTGAATCTTCCTCAGCAGAAAAAATAAATTTTTTTTAAGTCTCATTTTATGAATTTGAAGACTTGAAAATTTTGCCAAGAATTAATAGTTTCAAAGCTGACAGGCTTAGTGAACTATAACCTGTGTTCATACTACTGCCACTTCACGGCACCACTTCTGCTGGTAAACAGAAACACTGGTTATTCGGTAATGTTTAGAAGCACCCACTACTACCAGAGATTTCAGTGATTCTTGTTATTTTATCATTTACTATTATTATAAATGTAAAATCTTCTTGATAACCCCTAACAGTATCACTTAATATCATTGAGTGGTGATGCTAATGCTCAAGTTAAAAAGTATGGTCCTGAAGCAATAACAGAATAGGAGTTAAATATGATAAAACTCCTAGAAGAATGCAAAAAACTGCTATGAGAGAGCAGTCAGCAAAATATTATGAAATAATTGCTGAGAAAATAAGGAGTAGCATTAAAGCAAGAATATGCTACAAATGATTATATAAGCTCTGAGAACACCACCCTACTCTCCCGCCCCACCCTACCAAACACAAAAACACATAATTCAAACCAGAATCTTGAATTATGCAAGTTTTTAGTTTTGGGCTTGTAGATATCCCAGAATGCATCTGTGACAACTTTGTACGTACTACAAAACTTTAGAGGCATTGCTGCTCTAGGCTGTTATTTGGGTAAGGGATAGCCAGTGATTGAACCCAGGGTGAGCATCTGAATCAAGGGCAGCCAACCCATGGCCATCCTCGGCCCTGGGAAGAAGTCTGGTACAAAAAGTACAAACAGCTTTGCTCAGCAGGAACAATGGTAATTAACTGGGCTGCATATTCTCTCTAGAAGTTGAAAAGGAAAGTATGGAGGGTATCAAGTTGCAAGCAGAAGAAACAGAAAGATATAAAAAGCAAAACAGTGAGGGTTAGTTGGTCACAGTAATGAAGGAGCCCCAGAAAGAAGATGCACAAACTGCCATGGGTGGAGGCAGTCAGAAGAACACCTGGTCTCCAAAACTGCCTTGGATTCCAGAACACAAGCCACATTTGGATTTCTGTGATATTTCTACTTCTTTAGTGCTACTTTGCATCATCCAGATAATGAATCCTGAGAACTGAAGTAGTTCAAGCACATTGCTGCCTAATACATACACTAATTTTCAGAATTGGTAAGATTTTCCTAGAAAGGTAGTGAGTTCTCTATTTTTGCTTTCTTCCACAGAAGGGCCTAGGAATGCTAAGAGAAAGATTCTTATATAAATAGGTAACTTTACATACCTGCATTTTTTTCTCTTGCTCATTCTCTCCGATCATTCCTGTACCCGCTACACTTTCACTTCCATCAATGGATACCTATAGGAACAAAATAAAGCTTAAAGAAGTTTTACATTTTAATAATTGTTTAGCCTGGGTGATAAGTACATGGGGATTCATTATTGTTTATTTTTCTATATATTTTAAAATTTCCATTATAAAAAGTGGGGAAAAAATCCTTTTAAATTATATGAAAGATATATGTTCAACATATGGAAAAAGCCCAGCCTTTCTGATTAAAAATTGAGACTTTGCTTCACTTTTTCCAATCTCTAATTTCTACTTCTTAATTCCTAAGCAGTTCCATCTATACTTTATTATTTCTTTTATGACACTCATCCTTGAACATACACCCTTTCGTGAGTCACCTGCCACCCATTTCTTTTCTATAAGCTCTTACTCCATTCTCTTGTTTTTCTTCAAATATTTCTTTCTAAACTTCACTTCTTTTAAGATAAATGCTGATCTTCTCCTTGATGCTGTCTGATTTTGACTGTGAATTGCTAGTTTCTTATTTGATAAAGTATACTTTTTTGTTTTCTTTCCTTTCAATGAAAAATAAAGCAGGGGTATCTGGGACGTTCTTGACGTTGTAAAATGCTGTACCTTTGCTGCATATTGTTCCAAAGCACTGATGGTGTCAGGGTCAATCGTGGCATCCCCCGTGTGCAGACCAGCCACTGTCCCATCAGCCTGAATCGCCAGGATGGTGTCAGACTGCGGGACTTGCACTGCATGGTGGATGTAAGCTGTGGTGCCGTCCTCCAGCTGAACTGCCTGTAATGCGCTCTGGTCATAACTATCTGAGGGAGTGCAAGAGAATGGCATTAAATTAAAGGTAGTCTGATAAACAGTTAAATATCTACAGGAGAAGGGAAGGAACTTTGAGTAGTTACTGTGAGCACTGGCCCAGGTGCTTCACATGTGTTACTTCATTCAATCCTCACGACAATTCTGTGAGGCGAGTATATTTACTACCCTTACTGTACAAACGGGAAACTGAGGATTGGGGAAGTAAACTCACTTTCCTTTGGAACCAGGAAATAAAAAAAACTAACAATTAATAGTCAAAATCAGTATGTAGAGAAACCAGGATCTGAACTCAAGTCAGTATGACTTCAGTGTCCATGGGGTTTTTTCCCCCTCTAAATAACCACACCAAGAGATATACAGCATTGTGAAATAATAAATCTAGCCAATTGTAATGAGCCTGTGATTAACTCCCACTGCTAAAGAAAAAAATTCAGAGTTTACTTTTTTCAACTTTAATTAAACAAATTGGGGCTGGCCCGGTGGCGCAGTGGTTAAGTTCGCATGTTCCGCTTTGGCAGCCTGGGGTTCACCGGTTTGGATCCCGGGTGCGGACATGGCACTGCTTGGCAAGCCATGCTGTGGTAGGCATCCCACATATAAAGTAGAGGAAGATGGGCATGGATGTTAGCTCAGGGCCAGTCTTCCTCAGCCAAAAGAGGAGGATAGGCAGCAGATGTTAGCTCAGGGCTAATCTTTCTCACAAAACAAGACAAAAAAAACAGACAAATTTACTTACAAATTTAAGTATCTTAAATTTTGAAAAATTTCCCCCTTTGGTTTCACAACTAAATAGTCTTTCTAAAATATGTTATGTCATTCTATAATAAAATACTTTATAAAGTAATAACAATAGCTAACATTTATTGAGCATTTACCATGTGACAAATATTGTTCTAAGTGCTTTACCTATGTTTACACATCTTGTCCTCACAACCACTCTAGGATGTGGAGACTTACTATAATCTTAATTTTACAGATGATGAAACTGAGGCACAGGGAGGTTAAATAATTTGCTCAAGGTCACACGGCTAAAAGACAGCAGACCCAGATTTGAATCCAGATATTCTGGCTGCAGAGCTGTGTTCATTCCTCCTATACATTCCACCTCTAACCCCTGCTCCTCCTACACAAAGTTAATAAATGTTAACCTTCTGCCATATTTGCCTCAGATAATTTTTAAATTTTTAGTTAGTTTTAAAGACCAATATAATAGGCAAAGGACCTTGTGAAAGAAATTACATTGAAAAGGAAGAAAGAAAAAAAGAAGAAAAAAAATCAACAACGTTCAAATGTTTCATTTCCTGTTTTAAAAGCAGCCTTGATCTGAAGTCTTCCAGGGGCCAGGAGTTTGCTATTCCAACCTGTTCCTGGACAGCGCAAATTATCAGAAAGTTTTTCCTTAGACTGTGCCCAAATCTACCATCTTATATTTCAGCGAACAAGCACAATTCTTCTTTTACATGACAACACTTCAGCAACTAAAGGTAGGTCTTATTTTTCCCACACCCCCACTTCTCCCTCATTTTATTCATATTTCCAAAGCTATTTTACCTTTGGAGGTGTGGTGAATAAATGCTGTAGTTCCATCTTCTAACTGCACTGCTTGACCATCCTCTAAACGCAAACTGTCCCCTGCTCAAGAACAAGGCTTACATTTAGATCTCATGTTTTCTACGTGTGTTCTGATAACTCAGCAACAAGAGTCAATAAACCATCAAACACATTATAAAAACTTATACTTGGCTTTATGAATCCTTAAACATTTAAGGGATCTCAGTAAAACTGTTCTGAATAAGTATTGAAAGGTAAAAAGATATTAGAATACTTGTTTTAGGAATATATACCAGGGGATGAGGAGAGTTGAAAGGACAAAAAAAAAAAAAAAAAAAAGAAGAAAATGAGAGACATGTAGGATTTAGCTCATATAACAGAAATAGTCACTTAGGACTGTTGCCCATTTATCTCCACAGTTCTGTTATCCTTGAGAGAAAGTCTCAATTAAGTTAAAATGGTCTTTAGAGCCTCTCTTTGACATTTACTGGTCTCCCCTTACAGAGGAGGACTCGCGATCAGGACCGTTAAGCAGTAAGAGGCAGCTGGAGGCAGCAGATACTGCAGTATGAGGATCAGGAGGGTACGTAAGTATCAAATACTTACTACTTTTAGGTATGGGTACATGTTGAACATAGGCAGCAGAACCGTCCTCCAACTGAATGACCTGGCCATCTATGAGTTTTCCATCTGGAACAAAAGATTTAAGCCAATAGATGAGCACAAGCAAAAATTTTAAACTTTATACAATTTCAAAAATGATATCAACTATAAAAATATACACTACTTAAGATCATGTTCATCTTGATTCTTCCCTCAATGTTCTGAGGCAATTCAATAACACATCCAGTGATCCTACAGAAAGCAGAAAATCCTCCCTCAGCCATCCTTCCTCCCCTCCGATTTCCAGTTAGACAAGTTCAAGAGGAAGAGTGGCTCATTACAGCAAGCTCCATGAGTCGAACCTCTATGTACCTTTTAGAGCCACTTAGAAACAGTGACCTTGGCCATGGGGGAGCCCAAACTGGGGAGACAGATATGTCAGTGTATGTGAGGGCAGCTGTCATTTTCATCCCTGGGGCTATAAGTCCCTTGACTATGTATACAATCACTCAGTAGGTTTCCATAAAAACAAGGAGTTCAAGAACTCGGCTATTTCTTGGAGCAAAGTAAATACTGATTTAGAGACGATGTTATTTAAGCAAAACCAAATGCCTTTACTTTTACGCATCTCTTATAAAACAGTAAACAATAACTTGAAGTAAAAAAGCAAGAAAGGTGTTTATAGAAATAAGCTGGGGACACTCCTCCTCCCCTACTCCCCACTAGTTTTGACACCCCAGAGTATCTTTCAAATATCTCAAAGGGTGTCCCTAAATTATCAAAACAAAATTTAAGCTAAACTGAAATACATACGCAATACAGTGTCTTTAGAAGGGTCTGGGAAGGGGTATAGTTGCTAGGAGCTCTAACTCTGAGGTTATAAGTTGCTGCTATTAACCAATAGGCTGTACATGAGACACGTACCTTTAGAATTGTGTTGTATATAAGCGGTAGAACCATCTGCAAGTGTTACTGCTTGCAAGCTTACACCTTCCATATTTTCTAAATTGTCGCCATCTATTATAAAAAATAGTTATTTTCTTTAGATGACTATCATATGTGCATGCTGTTTAAATAAAATATTTTTAAATGAAAATTAAGCAAAAGGCAGACTGCTTCTCTTAGACTCAAAGGGGATTTCTTCTAGCAGTTACAAAAAATACTTCCCTGCCCTATTGTACCCAGCGTCCACACCCAGGTAAAAATGCTCACAAAAAGGCTTAGCTTTGTGTCGTCTTTAGCTAAATGAGGAAGAGGAAAGTCAACAGGGTGTTGCGAGTTTTCATTTTCCCTTAAAGTAAATGCTATTTCCAAACCCACATGATCCCTTCAAACAAGACTGCTCACCTGCCACAGTGACTGCCTCTGTCAGGCACAGGGTAACGTGCTGAGCCTCCATTCCTCCTCCAGGAAACTCTGTCATTCCCTGAGAATCTCGATTTATTTGGGCTAACAACATTTTCTACCTTAAAGAAAATACAGGCATTTGAGAACAAAGAGCGATGCATAAGAAATAAAAGCTACAAAGAATATCTACGAACCACAAAAAATTGCTAAAGAAGTAAACAGTGTTTGAAATAAGCTGACATCTCACTTAACAGGATAAGTGTACTAATAGGTAAAAGTATGAAGCCAAAGTCCAAGGCATGCTTTTCATGATTCATCGGTAAACTACTGAGCACACTGACAAGTCTTGCCTATCAGTTTTGTACCATGTCTAAAATTTCCATAATTGGAGTTCTTCGAGTTTCACATGGTTGAAGATTTCCGCTTACAATCCACCAGCAATCCTGTTCACTCAACCTTCAGAACTCTATCCTGAATCCGGCCACTTCTCCCAACCTTCGCCAGTACTTCCCTGATCCAAGCATTGCCGTCTCTCACCCACGTTACTGCGACAGCATCCTCTCGTCTCCCAGCTTCCACTGGGATCTCCCCAGTCTCCTCTCAACACAGCAGTCAGAGAGCCTTTTTGAGGGGAAAAGTTAGATTATGTCCCTCTTCTGCTCAAAACCTTCTGATGACTTCTCATGTGAGTAAAGCCAAAAGTCCACACTGGCCACTGAGGCCAAGGATCTTGCCCCTCATCTCCTACTACTCTGCGTCTCACTCCTTCCATGTCAGCCACGCTGGTATCCTTGCTTGTCCTCAAACATACTGGCTGGTCTGCTGCCTCACAACCTTTACCTCTGATGTTCCTTCTGCCTGAAACATTCTTCCCAGTATCGTCTTCTTCAAGTCTTTGTTCAATGTCACCTCAACGAAAGCTTGCTTGTTCACCTCATTTCTGCACCCCCACCCCCCCAACCATGATATACCCTATCTCTCTTCCCTCCTTTATATTTCTGCATAATACTTATATTTGATGTATGACATGTCTTTACTTATTTGTTTCTTATCTATTTTCCCCTCCATTAGAATGGACAGGGATTTTTATCTGCTCACTGCTGACTCAAGTGCCTAAAAAGTACTTAGCACATAGTAGACATACAATAGGTGCTGAATAACTGGATGAATGAGTGGCTCTTTTTATCACTACCAAAACCCCTTCCTCCCTTCTCTCACCTCCAGGTCCCATTACCTCAGTGGGCCGTGAATTGTCTCAAACGAGTTGGGATAACTTAGCTGCCTGGAGCCAGGGAACTGGGCCAGAGGATCTCTTGAGGACCTATCCGGGTCTAAAGATCTGATTTTAGTGTCAATCCTTAAAAGAGCAACATGCAGAGAGTAGTGATAATTTGCATTCTATTTATGTTTAGGACTACTTGAGGATTTTTGTTTTAAAAACACAATATACTGTACCCTCTTTGGACTAAAGCCAGAGGCTATGGCTTAGACTCACACAAAGGTGTCAGTGCTGTGATAAAAGTCAGTCAAGGCCTGATTTTTCAAGGATTCCTGAAAGACTCATAACTCATAACTGTTCATAGAGCAGACTGAAACTTAAATACTTCCTTGCTACCTCCAAGGACTGAGAGAGAAGCCTCAAAGTAACACTGGTACTCGGCTGTGACTCCCTGATGAGTACAGGATTGGGACAGGCTAATTTTCAGAACAAGTACTGTCACTACGTAACAGAAACAAGATAAGGAAACAGACGGGAAAACGCCTAACAAGATGTAGTAAGCACTGTATGATTTTTGCAGTATTCATCTAGGAGATGAATTTTTGAAAAAGGCAGATTATAAGGTAACTTGGGTCATGTTGTTAACAAATCCCTAAGGTTTGATTGTAACTCAAGCATTTGTCCTTTTCATTCAATTACTCATAAATCTCCAAATAACCATTAATATATAGCATCAAGAGGCAATTGACATATCTGCAATAAATAAAAGTTCTCTTTGTCTAAAAGCTGGCTCACTATTAAATTTCTTTAGGAAGGCTTCAGCACCTACAGTTTTGATACTAATGGAAAAAAAATCTATACTAACTTAAAGAAGAAGAGACAATTGTTTCCTGGACACAAATTGCTGGCAAATACATTGGGTAGTGAAGGAAGAAAGGACTCAGAAGAGTTCAAATGGGCACTACAACTAACAGAGACAATAAGCGATGACAGGTACACAGCCCATCTTATTTTTTAAGTTCTCAAAAAGACTCTGTGATACAATTAACACCTTTGTGAGAAAATGATCAAATGGGGAAATTATGATAGTGAGAAAAGGAATAAACAAGCCAGAGGTCAAACACTTTATAGCTGCTCACACTATATCCATCATCATGTCTTGATCATTTCTGTCATGAAGATTTTCAGGTTGTGTGAAAATGAGCACATGAGATGACACACAACATCTTTAGAAAGGGCCACCTTGTGAAAGGTAGTCAGTTTCATCTGCTTTAATGGGCCAAAATCAGACACAGAGAAGGCTGTCCTGAAGCCCTATAGGAATCTCCAATGAAGACATAACATGTCTAATAAATAAAATTTTTGCCTTTCTGGAAGAGGATGATGTATGTTAGCATAAGAAAAGAAAAAAACACACTATGGAAATGTAGCAAATGTTATATCCAGAATATATAAAGAACTCATTCTAAAACTCAACAATAAAAAAAATAAATAACCTAGCTAAAAATTGTACAAAGGACTTGAATAGACATTTCTCCAAAGAAGATATACAAATGGCCAACAAGCATACAAAAAGATGCTAAATATCACTAATCATTAGGGAAGTGCAAATCAAAACCATAATGAGATATTATCTCATGCCTGTTAGAATGGTCACTATAAAACAAAAAACAGGGGCTGGCCCCATGGCCGAGTGGTTAAGTTCGCACGCTCCGCTTTCGTGGTCCAGGGTTTCCCCAGTTTGGTTCCTGGGCGCGGACATGGCACCATTCGTCAGGCCATGTTGAGGCCGCGTCCCACATGCCACAACTAGGAGGACCCACAACTAAAATATACAACTATGTGCTGGGGGGATTTGAGGAGAAAAAGCAGTTAAAAAAAAAAAGAAAGATTGGCAACAGCTGTTAGCTCAGGTGCCAATCTTAGAAAAAAAAACAAATAGAAAATAACAAGTGATGGTGAGGATACGAAGAAATTAGAACCTTTGTGCACTGTTGGTAGGAATGTAGAATGATGTAGCTGCTATGGAAAACAGTATGGAGGTTTCTCAAAAAATTAAAAATAGAATTCCCATATGATATAGCAATCCCATTTCTGGGTATATATCCAAAAGAATTGAAAACAGGATCTCAAAGAAATATTTGCACACCCAGTTCACTGCAGCATTATTCACAACAGCCAAGAGATGGAAGCAACATAAATGTCCGTCAGTGGATGAATGGATAAAGAAAATGTGGTATATATACACACAATGGAATATTATTCAGCCTTAAAAAAGAAGAAAATCCTGTCATATGCTACAACAAGGATGAACCTTGAGAATATTATGCTAAGTGAAATAAGCCAGTCACAAAAAGACAAACACTGCATGATTCCACTTATATAAGGTACCTAAAGTAGTTAAACTCTTAGAGAGCATGGTGGTTGCCAGGGACTAGCAGGCAGGGGAAAAGGGGAATTATTTTTCAATGGTGGGGGTAAAGAGTTTCAGTTTTACAAGATGAAAAAGTTCTTGAGATTTGGTGCACAACAATGTATACAGTTAACACTACTGTATTGAACATTTAAAAATGGATACGGCCAATTACCATAATTAAAAAAAAAAGATCTGGTGCCAGCCCAGTAGCCTAGTGGTTAAGTTCAGCACACTCTGCTTTGGCAGCCCAGGTGTGGTTCCCAGGCGTGGACCTACATGACTCATCAGTGGCCATGCTGTGGTGGCAACTCACATACAAAACAGAGGAAGACTGGCACAGATGTTAGCTCAGGGACAATCTTCCTCAAGCAAAAAGAGGAAGACTGGCAAGAGATGTTAGCTCTGGGCCAATCTTCCTCAGCAAAAAAGAAAAAAAAAATCTAAGCACTTATACTTCTCTTTATACTTATACTCCTCTTTATGTTTGATAGATTTCATAATTTTAAAGTGAAAAATATCCAAAATTATTGGCAAGAAGAAAAAGAATATATGAAAATTCACTGTTAAAATTAATAACCAAACACTAGCAGACTTCATTCCTTCAAAAAAAATAATGAGTGTTTCCTCAGCAGTTTGAATCTGCATCAGACTAATATTTTTAAATGTGAAGCCCT